AACGCTCTTCCCGGTTCGTAGGAGGAGATGCGTTCGGAGAGGTAAGTGGGGCCGGAACCGTGTAGGGCTTTATAGGCTAAAGCCAACACCTTAAATTGTGCCCGGTAGCGAATTGGCAGCCAGTGGAGCTGGTTCAACAGGGGGGTGGTATGCTCCCTGAGAGCCGCTCCCGTTAGCAACCTGGCTGCCGAGCGCTGGACCATCTGAAGCTACTTGTGTTATGTTGGCACTTTTTGATTGCAATTTTTTTTCAATCAGTCTTCTGTATACCTTTGCTTCTTACCCATGTTGGTCCCAATCGGTGCATGAGTGCTATGGGCCCCCCGCCCTATTTTTATCCCTCCCCGTCCTCATTTTGTTGCAACTCAGTAGAGTAACAGCTATATTGAATTCATTGATAGGTTTCTCCTGTCAATGAAAAAGACAATCCAACCACGAGTACAATGCAACAACAGGAAACACAATACCATGTGGTAAGCTATATACAAAGGCACTTTAATCTGCACTTTATCAGCCTCATGTGATAAAATGCCGAGTCTCATATCTCTTGAAGTACAGAAATCAAAGTGGCAGTGACATGATGTGCTCTCTTGCTGCTGTTTATTGAGCTATGGCTGGCCTAAGGTGGTGACCTCTGCTCTCTCCTAAAGGCAACTCTTGGAAAGGGGACAGGCTTAAGTGGGTCAATCTAGACTTCTTACTTGAAAGATATTCCATTTTATGTGATCTGACAACATTTGCTCCTGCCTCCAGTAGTCAACTGGACCTTCGTTAATAAGCAGGTGAGCTTTGGAGACGTTGGTGCATCTACACTGTAGACTTAATGCAGTTTAACATCATTTTAGTTACCATGGTGCAAAGTTATGGGATCCTGGGATTTGTACATTGGTGAGGCACCAGCATACTTTGGCAGAAAAGGATAAAGGCATGGAATGACAACTCCCATGAATCCATAGCATTGATTAATGACACTTTTTTGGAAAGCCTGGAATCACACTGCTTTCAGCATGGAAAGCCTTCCCTCTTGGACTCTAGGATTCTGATTGATTCTGGCTGCTAAGAGGCTTGAAGACCCAACATGTACTGTTTCTTCAGATCAAATGTTACAGCACAGAGTGCCCTGTACTAGAACAAATGAAGTAGACCAGATGTATCCAGCCAGTTTGTCCTCCTGCCCTAACCCTAACTCTAACTCTAACCGTAACTCTAACTCTAACCCTAACCCTAACCTTACTGCATCTCAATAAACACCAAATTTTGAGCATATACTACAAAATGAGGATAATGGAGCATTCAAACAGAGGGAAAGGTGCATTATTCTGCCAGTCACCCTGGTTGGAAGTACAAACTGAGCATCCCTTATGTGGAATTCCAAAATCCAAAAATGCCCAAATGGGTGCCTGAGATAGGACCTCATCAGATGCAAGTTCTCCTCAGTTTCCACATACTTCTAAGACATTTTAGGGACAAAGTGCCATGGAGCCTTTCACATGACATAAGACTACTTTCTGTTGTAATCTGTTGCACTTTGTCCTTGAAATGTAGTAGAAGTGTAGAGAAAGGGGAGTGGACAGGAGATGGGAAAAAACTATCTTCAGAGCTCCCGATGTGTCTGGAAACAAGATAAAGTAATTAAAAACACACGGAATAGGATGTGTCAGATTTGCCCATGTTGAATAGTTTCAGTGACATGGAGGAATGGGCGTTCCTATGGGTGGTCTCCTATGCTCCACTTTTATTTATTTATTATTTATTTGGTGCATTTGTTGACCGCCGCTCTCAGCCCTAGGGCGACTCGCGGCGGTGTACAACATATAAAAGGCAATTTACAAAAGGCAATACAAAACAAAATCCTTCAGTATTTTTTAAAATGAATGTAATCCTAAGGAATAGCACTATGGTAAGGTATCACCACATGTGTTGTCAAAGGCTTTTGTGGCCAGAATCACTGGGTTATTGTGAGTTTTCCAGGCTGTCTGGCCATGTTCCAGAAGCATTGTCTCCTGACGTTTCACCCACATCTATGGCAGGCATCCTCGGAGGTAGTGAAGTCAGTTGGAAACCAGGCAAGTGGGGTTGATATATCTGTGGGATGTCCAGGGTGGGAGAAAGAACTCTTATCACCACTTAGCTTTCACTACATTCTTCCTTCATAGTAATCTAGGCTTTCAAAATTGTGCTACTGCTAGCTTTTTAACTTTTTTGTTTCCTTTTCTAAAGCTGCTATAGGAAGTTCTAGTGCAGTGGTTCTCAACCTTCCTAATGCCGTGACCCCTTAATGCAGTTCCTCATGTTGTGGTGACCCCCCAACCAAATTTGGCACAATTACTAGATATACCCAAATTTGAATACTGGTGGGGTTGGGGGGGGGGTTGGTTTTGTCATTTGGGATAAAGGTAAAGGTTTTCCCCTGACATTAAGTCCAGTCATGTCTGACTTTGGGGTGTGGTGCTCATCTCCATTTCTAAGCCAAAGAGCCAGCGTTGTCCGTAGACACCTCCAAGGTCATGTGGCCAGCATAACTGCAGGGAGCATGGTTACCTTCCCACCAGAGCAGTACCTGTTGATCTACTCACATTTGCATGTTTTTGAACTGCTAAGTTGGCAGAAGCTGGGGCTGACAGCGGAAGCTCATGCCGCTACCTGGATTTGAACCTGCACCCTTTCGGTCAACAAGCTCAGCAACGATGTAATTGAAACAAACTTGGCACACAGATATCCCTTAAGCAACAGAAAATATTGGAAGGGTTTGGTGGCCATTGACCTTGGTTTTGGAGCTGTAGCTCACCTACATCAGGTGAGCACTGTGGACTCAAACAATGATGGATCTGGACCAAACCTGGCAAGAATACTCAATCTGCCCAAATGTGAACACTGGTAGAGTTTGGGGAAATTAGACTTTGACACTTGGGAGTTGTAGTTGCTAGGATTTATAGTTCACCTACAATCAAAGAGCATTCTGAACTCCATCAAGCCGCAAGGGAGCCAAGGGAGCCTTCACACAAGCCCACCTTGGGCTCCTCCACGGCCTCGCCATTTGGCGAGCGCGCGGGGGAGCCCAGGGAGGGCTCGCGTGAAGGCTGCCTCGGCTCCCTTGGCTCCCTCGTGGCCTCGCACGAAGCCTCTCTCGCCTAGATTGCGCTCCCGCCGGGCGACAGGGGCGTGATCCAGGAGAAAGAGGTTTCGTGCAAGGCTAGGCCCCGCATGAAGCCTCCCTCGCCTAGATCGCGCTCCCGCTGGGCCGCGGGGGCACGATCTAGGAGAGGCTTCGTGCAAGGCTAGGCCCTGCACGAAGCCTCGCTTGCCTAGATCACGCTCCCGCTGGGCCGCGGGGGCTCGATCTAGGAGAGAGAGGCTTCGTGCAAGGCTAGGCCCCGCACGAAGCCTCTCTCGCCTAAGCCATGCCCCTGCCGCCCAGCGGGAGTGCGATCTAGGCAAGAGAGGCTTCGTGCAAGGCTAGGCCCTGCACGAAGCCTCCCTCGCCTAACCCGCGTTCCTGCCAGCCGGCGGGATCGCGATCTCGGCGAGGGAAGTTTCATGTAAGGCAGCCATTTTGAGGGGGCGGGGCCAACCGAGGCCCCTTTGCGACCCCCAGAAAATGGCCCAGCGACCCCCCTGGGGGTCGCAACCCCCAGGTTGAGAACCGCTGTTCTAGTGCCTGTGAAACTTCAGGAACAATTTATAGTAAGTAACCTTATAATTTTCTCCTAAATTTGAACATACCTTTATTAGTACTCATATTGCATTGATGTCCAAACTTATGATTTAAATTATGAAAGGAATGTTAAAAGGCATAGGAAGAAGGGATCATGGTAAAGGGGTTTACAACACTGGTATGAGGGAGGGCAGGAAGGCATGGGAAAGACAGATCATTTAAAAAAACAATGTGGAGTGAGCAGGGAGTGCACTCACTTTTGTGATGGTTCAGAACATGGGGCAGAATGGGAGAAGGCCAGGGAACATAAAGTACCTGATGGGATTTGTAAAATGAAACAATGTCTTTAAAAATGGAAGGAGGTGATACGCTTTGCTAAAAAGATGACCCCCCCCCCCCCCCGGCCTGGCTTTTTGCAATACGTCTGATGAAGTCCATAGTGATTAATTTGCTTTCAAGTAATTCAGTGTACACATACTGTTTCATGCAAAAAAAGTGTATATAAGTACTTTTGGGCCCCCTGGTGGCGCAGCAGGCTAAACTGCTGAGCTGCTGAACTTGCTGACCAAAAGGTTGGCGGTTCGAATCCGGGGAGCGGGGTGAGCTCCCACTGTTAACCCCAGCTTCTGCCAACCTAGTTGTTCAAAAACATGCAAATGTGAGTAGATTAATAGGTACCACTCTGGCGGGAAGGTAACAGCGTTCCATGCAGTAATGCTAGCCACATGACCTTGGAGGTGGTTCATGCCGGCTCTTTGGCTTAGAAATGGAGATGGGCACCACCCTCCAGAGTCAGACTTGACTAGACTTAATGTCAGGGAAAGCATTTACCTTTTTAAATAATTACTTTCAGGCTATATGAATAAGCTGTATATGAAACGTAAATGAATTTCATGTTTAAACTTGAGACCAACTCCAAATATGTCATTTTGTACATAGATGCAAAGGCAGACATTCCAAAAATTCTTCCCCAAAATCTGAAATCCAAAGCACTTTTGGTTCCAAACATTTCAGACAGGGGATACACCATCTATATTTCCAAAAAACCTGCTGCCTGCAGCACATGTAAATTGCAAGTTATTTTTTGCAGAAGTTTGGAAGTTTAGAAACTCCAAGTGCAGAGATGGGACTTCCTCCTTGCTTCCTTGTACAGCTTCCTGCTGGCTGAGGGCTCAAGGTAGCCGCATTGTCCCAAAGGAGGCTCAGCTTGTGGCCCAGGGACTCCGCACTGCCCAACAGGCATCAATTCCCCATCTTAAGTGGTTTCCTTGGTAACAGCTGTTACCAGTTTTCCACCAATCAATGGCAAGCGGGGCTGGGAGAGTCAGTGTCCTACATAAAGAGTCAGGCACATTAGCAGGCTCAGTTGAGGGCTGATTCCCTCTGCTGCGCACACGCTGCCCAAAGGAGAAGCCATGGCGAAAGGGATAGGGGTCCGGTCGGCCACCCCCAGGCGATGGACCTACTCCTTTGCGGCCGTCTCACTGCTATGCCTGGCTGTCCAAGCAGGTAAGGGGAAGGAGGGCTGGCAGGAAGGAGCCTGGCCAGGTGAGTGGGCAGGGCAGGAACTCAGGTATGGCAGAGCCACAAATGTCACTAAGGAATGGAACTTGGTCTTGCAGAACTTAGGAAGTGTGAAGAATCCCTTGAAACACACTTTAGAGCCAAGGACAATGCAATTTTGAAGGAACCACTGAGAATGGGAAAGGAAGCTAGTGATTCAGTCCAGTAGCAGCTTCAACAATCATGTAATTGGGTCCCTGGCTTCAACATCCCAGTGTCATAGGGACTGGGACTGTGCTTTGTTCCTAAGAAAAATATTCAGCCTAGAGGGGTGAAGGATTTCCCAAAGATTATACAAAGAGTCTGCCTGAGAAACGAAAGCTAGCTTTCAGGTGTGTTTCTTAATTCCTAGACTTTTTTTGTGTGTCACAAGTGACTTGAGAAACTGCAAGTTGCTTCTGGTGTGAGAGAATTGGTCATCTGCAAGGACGTTGCCCAGGGGATGCCCGGATTTTTTTTTTATGTTTTACCATCCTTGTGGGAGGCCTCTCTCATGTCCTCACATGGGGAGCTGGAGCTAACAGAGGGAGATTATCTACGTACTCCCCGGATTCGAACCTGTGACCTGTCGGTCTTCAGTCCTGCCAGCACAAGGACTCAACCCACTGTGCCACCGGGGGCTCCAATTACTAGACTATTCTGCTAGAAGAATACAATAGCTTCAAAAGTCATGTTATTTATTTGTTGTGTCAGGAGTGAACCAAAACAGTTGTATTGCATGTATTGTATTGCAAAGTTATGTTAATATGTGTGTATACTCAAAAGGCAGCATTATCAACACCTTGACCTTGAAGGTCTGCCTGTTGTGTTCTTTGCCCCTTGACTGAAAAACCCAATAACAGGAATTGACTATGCCTTACAAAGAGTTTACAGACAACCATTCTGCCAGAAGTAGTTTGAGTATCACTATAATAGAAACTTAGATCATAAATAGATTATAGAATAATTTACTTTTAGGGTGGAAACTAAGTACCAAAGTTCACGCTGCCCTTCTGAATAGGCAAACTGCTTCTCCCATTTCCAATCTCCAATTCAGATTGGTTTAACTGTGCTACATATGTGAGAAAGCTTATCCCTTTGATAGAAAAAGGATTTCAATGATGTAATATAAGGTCCAGATTCACTGTGGGCAATGTGGATGCAAATGAACCCAAAGGTAAAACTGGGGCTGGATATTTTCCAACTCAATGAATGGGACTATTGATAAGGACACATTCTTCACCAGAGAATATGAGTGAGTTGTATCTTCCCACTGACACACTGTGTTCCTATCTTCGTCTTTTTGTTTTGGTAGTGGGGTTACTGAAAACTAGATCTCATAACTGTGCTCAGGTAAATGTTGGAAATCTGAACCTTATTTAAGAGGGCCAAACTTTAATGCTTCTAATGGAGTTTTTGTGAGCTTGTAAAAGGAATTGATATTTTGAAGGATCTATTACAACTTTACTTGGGCAGAGGCAAAGGAGAGGGTGATTTCATTCACTTTCCAGGCACGCCAATTGTCTTCTGTCATCTGCTGGGAATTATGGGTCGACTGCTCATGCAAAAAGCAGATCAAACTGGAACAAAGGTAGGCAGGGAGCCATGGAAAAAGGAAGACGGAGAAACGGACAATCTGAAGGTGAAAGAGAACATTTTGCAATTGCGAATTCCCTTCAACCCTATTCCCTGGAGCCAAGAGTCACAAATGCTTTCCCTTTTGTGGAAAGCAGCTTCAACAAAAGTGATGTTTTCATGAAAACAGCCGCACTTGGTGCCCGTCCCCTTGAAGTTGCTCTTTCCCACCCCACTGTGCCTCTTTGTCCTTATTAGAAGGGCTAGGATTTGTTTGCCTTTGGATTTTAACCTTTTATCCCTGCTCAAGTTGGATCGGGCAGGAGAAGGAAGCCAAGAAACGGGGAGAGTATGAACAGGCCAAGCTTTCTTTCCCAAGGGAGAATGAGAAGTGTAATTTGGCACAGGGCAAGCATTTATTTCATCCGGTGGCAGTGATTTCATTGAGTTAATGATGGCTGTGAAACTGCTGGTTCAGATCCAGCTCCCAAGAACAGTATAGAAAAGGTTGTGATACCCACAAGCGCTAGCCAGGCTTAGCTAGAGCATGGGTTTGTGTGTGTGTTTGGGAAGATAGGCTGGTTTTAATTGCCACCTTCAATGTCAGACACTCGGATGGGGCCACCAGGCAGTACTAGCTTGAATGATTTCATTGCAACTCTTACAGCTAGGAGGCTCAGAAATGGAGGCATACTGAAATCTTGAAAATGTCAATGTATTAAAAAGTTGGCTTGTTGTAGGTTTTTTCAGGCTATATGGCCATGTTCTAGAGGCATTCTCTCCTGACGTTTTGCCTGCATCTATGGCAAGCATCCTCAGAGGTAGTGAGATACCTCTGAGGATTCTTCCCATAGATGCAGGTGAAACCTCATCAGATCCCCAAAGATTTTGCACACACACATCCCTCCAAGGGCCCTTCTACGCAGACCATATAACTGAAGCCAGCTCAAGGGTGTCGTGTCGACAAAACACACATCCCCAATGCACGTTGCAGTACACATCAAGCCAGGAGCAGGACAATTAAAAAACTCACCAGAAAGTCTAGAATAAGATAAATAATGCACTGCAGCCGATCAGAGCATATCCCATGCAGGGCCTGAAACTGGGACCAAAATATGATCAATGCTTTTTAGGGCACCCCTAGTGCTGGAGCACTTTGAAAAACATGGAAAAACACCTAGCTGGAAGGTAAACCATTATTCTGCTGGAGATGAAACGGCATCATTCCCATGAGAACTCTCTCTTTCCACGCTTTTGTTCTTATTTCCTGTCCCCTGCTACAGTCCAGCACTGGTCCTGAATGGAAATGGATAGGTTCAGCAGTGCTTTTCAGTGGACTTGTTAAATCCGCCCCCCCCCCCAATTTTCCCAGTGGCTGTCCTGCCATCGATATTGTGGGTTCAGTTCTGATCTGTATTTAGTGGATAGTGTAGCCACTGTCCCAGGACTGAATTGGTTCCTGGGTGATTGTGTAGGCATTGTGTAGCCAAATCAAATAGTTTTTATCTACTTCCAACTGGATTATAGTGTCTGTGTAGAAGCTTCCCCGGTATCTTATACATCTCCTCTCTCTCCCCCTCTCACTCCCAATCTCTCTCTCCTTTCTTCCCTCCCTCTCCCGAACAGTAAACTGGATGTGTTTATGGTTTCACTCACATACACCCACATCATGATGGATGGGGCTCTGACATCAGTGTGATGACAAATCTTCTCTGTTTTAGTCCTAATTCTAAAATATACATCAAAGCAATGAACCTATTTGGAGGAAGGCTTTAGTACTTTGGCTAGTTCCTTCACACTAGCTCCTGGCCATGCTTGACTGAAGAATACTGGGAGCTGTGCTCCACAAATATAACTTTCCAAGGCCTAAAATTGCCACAATAATGGAAATCCCCTTAAATTTACTTGTGTGGGTTTATTTTCATTTAGCCTTCCACTGAAATCACCGATAGCTGTCCCTTAAGGTGCATTGTACTCTACCTCTATCCTCTGCTCACAAGCTCACTTGTTTCTTCTGTGTCCTGTTCCCTGCAGTCCAGAAGGCCGACCTCACTGGGGACTCTACGGTGGCGACCATCAACCACTCCCTGTCATTGCTGCAGCGGCTACAGGAGCTCCTACACAATGGGAATGCCAGTGACACCACCTTGCGAGTGCGCACTTCTGGTTCCGATGAAATCAAAGTCTTTCACACCCACCAGTTGATGCTCAGCTTGCAAAGTGAGATCTTTGAGAGCCTCTTGCACAACCAAACAATTCTCACCTTGCATGAGCCTCCGGACAGCGCGGCCCTTTTTGAAAAGTTCATCAGGTAAGAGTTTGGTTGCATGCTCTCTGCACTCAGAATCAGCAAGAACTAACAGATATATTAAACTTAGGTCTGAAGGAGAATGGGGTGATTTTGTTTGATGCTTCTCCACTGTCAGCCTCTAAATGTTATTTAAGCAGCCTGGTGGTGGGGTACTTTTCTCCCTTTATTGCAATCCTTCCATTTATCCCATGTTATTGCTGTATCTTGTTGAAACTATAACAATGTGGTTATGTGCTGGTTAGCTTTGACCTGTAGTGACCGTCTGAATAAGAGATCTCCAAGAGCCTTGGTCATTAACGATGCATGTCTTGCGCACTCAGGGATGTGGCTTCCTTGGTTGAATCAACCCACCTTCCTCTTTTCCTACTTCTTCAGCATCTTTTCTAATAAGACATGATTTTTTTTATCATGTCAGAGGCAACTTCAAAAATTGCAAGTTGCTTCTGGTGTGAGAGAATTGGTCGTCTACAGAGACGTTGCCCAGGGGACACCCGGATGTGTTACCATCCTGTGGGAGGCTTCTCTCATGTCACTGCATGGGTAGCTGGGGCTGACAGTTGGGAGCTCATACCATCTCGTGGATTCGAACCCCTGACCTTCCGGTCAGAAGTTCAGCAGTCACAAAGGTTTAACCCATTGCTCCATTGTGGTTCCCAATAATAAGACATTTTACTTCATCACACTAGAGAAAAAATCCACTTAAAATCCGGTTTCTGCCGCCTGCAGAATTCTGGGGTTTGTAGTTTAGTGAGGCTGTTAAAGGCTTCTCCCTAAACAACAAACCACAGAATTCTGCAGGGGGCAAAAACTAGATTTTAAGTGGATTTTTTCTCTCTAGTGCGATGATGTTGATGATGTTTAATAATGTGTTCAAACTATGATAACCACAATATAGTCATTCCATTTTCTTTTGAGATTTTAGGCTTAGTTTTCCCTAGGACACAATTATTTGTTATTTTGGCAAATCAAATATCTGTAGTACTTACTTCCAGCACTACATTTCAATGAGTTGAATTCTTCCCACTCCACTGTGGGCTTTCCTTGCTGCCCAGTGTGTTGAGATACTAACCTAAAACGCTATTAGCATCACAGCATGAGCAGAAACATTGAATCAGTTGTTGAATGGTGAATAAAAAATCCCCAGAAACTCAATGGGTTTGAAACTCTAGGTGGGACTGCCAATAAGATCTGATCACTGCATTTGCAACTGGCAGCGTTGGAAGCACTGCTTGATGCCAGATATAGTATGAAAAGGTAGGAAATGGAGGAGGAATTCCTTGGCATAGAGATACGTATTACTCATTGTACACGTTTTTGTTTTCGTGATCTGTGCTACTCAAAGGGGTGGTCTTTGGACTGCTGCTGGCCGTTGAACTATTGGCTGCCATTCCCTGCTGTCTTTCCAGGAAAGAAAGAAACGTTTGTAGTCAATAGGCACAAATGAGGTGATGGTCCCTGGCATGTTGGAGAGAGAGAGAGAGAAAAATGCTGGCCCCACATTTAGAAACATTATTCTAAATGAAACTTGGAGTTTAGTCTCTCCCTCACTCTGCTCAGCCAGGAATGGCCAGAATGGGGTTGTTTTGGCTGAGAATAAAGGAAGCTTAGCTGAGCATCAAAAGGTTACATTGGCAATACACTGGCAATCCATGACTGGATCTTCCATCTTTTGTTTTCATTTTTAAACAATGTTTTGATCCAAAATATCTGGTTTTGAAAAAAAAATTGTTGTGTCAGGAGTGACTTGAGAAACTGCAAGTCGCTTCTGGTGTGAGAGAATCAGCTGTCTGCAAGGATGTTGCCCAGAGGATGCCCGGTTGTTTTGATGTTTTATCATCCTTGTGGGAGGCTTCTCTCATGTCCCCACATGAGGAGCTGAAGCTGATAGAGGGAGCCCATCCGCGGTCTCCCCGGATTCAAACCTGTGACCTATCGGTCTTCAGTCCTGCCAGCACAGGGGTTTAACCCACTGCACCATTGGCGGCTCCATAAATGTGAAAAGGAGATCATGAGAGTGAGATGAGGTAGATGCACCCACTGATGTCCCTGATTTTTTTTAAACCTGGTGTTGGATGGAGGGAATAAGAGAAGCTCATTGCATCCAACATTGGAATAGAGTCTGCCCACCCCCTGGGTATTTAACTGCTGACTACTCCTTCTAAACTGCAGGATCTCCTCCAAATCAATCTTGCCAGGCTGAGATTTACTAACAGATTTCAGGGTTATCTGTCATAGCAAGTGTTTCTGATTCTGTATGAACATGAAATAGCTAAAAAAATTTAGTTCATCAGAACTGGCACATTAAGAAAAATATGCCAAATTAATCTGACACTTTTCAGAATGCAATATAGAACAGCTGTACATTACTATTAATGAATTAAAAGAACACACACACCACCAAGCATTCCTAAAAATGCCCTTAACATAATGGCCAAAAAGTTTAACAAACTCAGGGATAACAGATTATTTGTAAAAAAATATTTCCAAGTTTTGTACCCCAGTTTAGGATTCCTAAATCAGGCTTTTAAAAATTCAAGAGGTGAGAAAAGGAGAAGACTTTTATGCAATGCTCAAAAGACTGTTATGCGATGCTCAATTCTGGGTTAAGGTTTTTTATTCTCACAAATTTTAAGTATACATTTGCTCCAAGCCATTCCCACACCACTAGTTTTCACTTGGCTTTGGCTATACTGTGATATTCCTGTTAAAAACCCAGCAACATAGTAAATTCTAGAAGCCTAAAATCTGCTCACCTATGTCCTAGATCGACTGATCTACATACCTAAACCTTCTAAGCTGTTTTTGTAACTTTATGGCAACACATTTGGAACACTGACCTCCTGCTAAAACATTTTTGAGTACTAGGAAAAAGTTGACCCCCTCTTGAATTACATGAAGCCCCTATTTAAAATACCAACTATTTTTTTGTGAATTTAAAATTGACACAAAAATACCCAAATTCTTCTGTGGCTCACCTGGGATTGAAACTTCGATCTCCAGTAATCCCTAAACCAGGGGTGTCCAAACTTTTAAAGCCGAGGGCCTGTTCATGGTCCTTCAACCTATTGGTTGGCCAGACTATAGTTTGAAAAAAACCTGAACAAATTCCTATGTACTCTGCATATGTCTTATTTGCTGTGCAAAAAGAAAATGAAAGAACAATTCATTTTATAAAATGAAGAACAATGTTAGCCTGTCTTTCAATGGGAAGTGTGGGCCCGCTTTTGGCTGATGAGAGTGAAGTAAATTAGGATTGTTGTTGTGTGCCTTCAAGTCATTTCAGACAGTGGCATATGCTGTCTCAGAGTCTGGTGGACTCTCCTTCTCTGAAGGTTTTTCCAGCAGAGACGGCATGGCCACCAGTCGGGAGGGCTTTGATTGTAACAGAAGGGAGTTATAGTTGCTCTCCCCTTTTTTTCCCAATGGAGGAGATGCAGTGAACGGCAGCCTTTTTGGAAAATGCAAAGTAGCAATGTAGGACGTAGGCAAGGTGGAGAAGGAAGGGAGGGAGAGAAGGAGGGAAGCCAGGCAGGTGCTCGGCCTCGGACATACAGCAGCAGCAGGAAGTGCTTGGGGCAAGTAGGGCAATTGGGGAGCCTTCTTTGCAAAGCAATAAAGAAAAAAGTTGTGGAGGAAGAGGGAGACTGAGACCTGAGCCATCCAAGGAGAAGGCGATGCTCAATCAGGGTGAAGCGATGCAAGAGGCTGCCATCTCTCTTTCCCTCCTCCCAAGGAGCCTGCCTTTTCCAGAGCCCTGATCCCAAGAAGGACAAATGAACAAGAAGAGGAAGGAAGTCAAGGAAGGTAGGGAAGAAGGGAAGAAACAAAGGAAGGCAGCCTGGCAAGAGAGAGCCGGTGGAAACTTGAACAGGGCTGCAATGTTCTAAGCCAACACTTAAAGTACTACACCACAATGGTTCCCTTTTTTCCCCTTTCCTTTTTTCTTTTTGTGTTGCAGCACACTGTCTTTGAAAACATTGAGGATGATACTTACTGAACAAAGTGTGATACTCAATATGAACGTTTTCTCCACTCCACCCCCCTTTTCTAGGTATCTATACTGCGGTGAGATCTCCATACTCCTCCATCAAGCCATTCCGCTTCATCGACTAGCCAGCAAATACCGTGTCTCCAGCTTGCAGCGAGGAGTGGCCGAGTACATGAAAAGCCGCCTGGCCAGTGACTCCAACCAAGGCCATGTGGTGGGCTGGTACCACTATGCAGTGAGGATTGGTGATGAAGCTCTGCAGGAAAGCTGCCTCCAGTTCCTGGCCTGGAATCTCTCAGCTGTGATGGGCAGTGCAGAGTGGTCCTCCGTCAGCATAGATTTGCTGCTCCTCTTGCTAGAACGGTCTGACTTGGTTCTGCAGAGTGAGCTGGAGCTCTACACAGCTGTGGAGGAGTGGGTTGCTACCCACAAGCCTGAGGACCCTGTAGTAGAGAAGATGCTGAGATCCCTGCGCTATCCCATGATCTCCCCTAGCCACCTCTTCCACTTGCAGAAGCAGTCTCTAGTGATGGTGAAGCACTACAATGCCGTCCAAGACCTCCTCTTCCAAGCCTTCCAGTTCCACTCTGCTTCCCCAATCCACTTTGCCAAATACTTTGATGTCAACTGCAGCATGTTCCTGCCCCGCAACTACCTCTCCACTGCCTGGGGCTCCCCTTGGGTCATCAACAACCCGGCCCGAGATGACCGAAGTACCAGTTTCCAGACCCAGTTGGGACCCAGCAACCATGACTCTGCCAAGCGGGTGACTTGGAATGTCCTATTTTCTCCACGCTGGCTCCCTGTCAGCCTGCGTCCTGTTTACTCAGACTCCGTCTCTGGGGCCATCCAGACCATCAGGATTGAAGATGGCCGCCCCCGCCTGGTGATCACTCCAGCCACAACGAGCTCTGACTTTGCTGGTGTCAGTTTCCAGAAGACCATTTTGGTGGGTGTCAGGCAGCAGGGAAAAGTCTTTATCAAACACGCCTACAGCTTCCACCAGAGCACCGACGAAGTTGCTGATTTCCTAATACATGCCGATCTGCAGAAGCGCACTTCTGAATACCTCATTGACAACTCTCTGCATCTGCATATCATCGTTAAGCCAGTTTACCATTCACTCATCAAGATCAAAAAGTAGGAGAGCTGTGGGGGGCAAGGGGAACAGCAGAACAAAATGGGGAGGGGGTGGGATTAGTGTTTTGTACTGAAGGACAGCAATGGCTTCACCACACAGTTCCAAAACCAACTGACACTGGTTCTCTCAATTTGACATCTGTGTATACCAGAGCAGTCTCTTTGGAAAAACCTGGGTGTTTTTTTGCACCAAAACAACTTTTTCACTTGCAAATGTGGTGATTATTTTTAATAGATGGGGGATTAGAACTCTTAAGATCGTGGAGTATGGTGGAGACTTTTCACTGTTTCTACTTATGTATAGCTCCTCACTGTCTTATTTAAAGGATTTAGGGCCCTTCCACACAGCCATAGAACCCAGAATATCAGAAAATCCCACAATATCTGCTTTGAACTGGGTTATCTGAGTCTGCACTGCCATATATTCCAGTTCAAAGTGGAAAATGTGGGATTTTATTCAGCTGTGTAGAAGGGGCCTCAGGAAGGATGAAGGAACTTCGGTGGTGCCTGAGCTCAAGTTATTCGCAAAAAATAACTCATTAGAAAGACCTTAGTGTCCTTGACATCTTTAGAATCTGCTTTAAGCATTCCGTGTACTGTAGTCCCATAGGATTATCGGAAACTGATAGATGTGGGCAAAGAAACAGTGACAAGTTTGAGGATGCCTGCCATAGATGCAGGCGCAATGTCAGGCGAGAATGCTTCTAGAACATGGCCATACAGCCCAAAAATCCTACAACAACCCAGTATGAAAGTTAATTTTGTATAATTACTCCTATTAGTTGATACATCCAGATCTTTCAGCCTTTTCCAAGACAACTCTAGGACATTACATACCAACGGGAGGAATCTTCAAAGGAAATAACCTGCAGTACGTGAATGGAATAGCTTCTCTTTATCAGTGAAATCTGTTTTTTCCTACAAAAATTTCAAATGGGCCCAACAGTTCTTAAGTGCTAAAAATGACATTACTGCCTTTGGTCTATGCCCACTCTTGTATGTTGCCATGCTGGTTCTGCCAACTTTTGAAAGTTTAAAAAATGAAATTAATGAAAGTTTTTAAATATCTGCAGAACCTTTTGATCAGGGATAAAAATAGAGCAAACAGATGTAGCATAGGTTATGCCCATCAGATTTAATATTATAAAAATATTGTCTTCTTCGAAAGGTTGTCTCTCAACATTAGAAATCTTGTAGATTTTGTTAGTATTCTAGCTATACTTCCCAATGGATCGACAAAGTCTTTATATCAAGGTTAACTTAATAAGTGGGAGACAAAAATGAATCCAGACTCTATAGCAGTGGTTGCAACCTCAGTTGAGATTGGAGGAGAGGATGACCACCATCTACATAGTAGGGTTTTTTTTGTAGGGGGCTCCTACCGAGTAGGTAGAAATATGGGATTTGTGCTGTTCCCTGCAAGTACTGTCCTCAGGCTCTTGAACGGAACCTCAGCAAATACAGATTTCTGAATTAAAAACAAGGAAATACATTGCAATGACCATGTGGTGTTATTCTGAGATACAAATGGATTTCCAGCATTGATTGCAACATGCTATTCTTGAAAGCTTCTCAGATTTCATGATCTTTGGCTTAAACTTCACTTCCGCTTCTATCCTAACATTAACATTGCCTATAACACCACCCCCATCTGCTTCTTTTCTCCAAATATCCTCCATTCCCCACACTATGCATTCATTTTCAGTGTATTTATTTTAATGCTTCAAATTTTCTCCACTCACAAGGTATGTTGCAAATTCTGTGAAACATCTCTTTGTCCCTGAAAATTATTTTGCGTCACAAAAAGTTGTAGGGGTACAGGAATAATATTATCCTGCATGCAATTCGAGTGAGATGTAATGCAATAATGCACACACTGGTGTTTGTTTCTAATGGTGGAGGAAGAGAGAGTGTGCCATAATGAAACTGCACCAGAGGGAACATTTGTAATTTAATGACAATTGGCTTGCAGAAGTCAGCAAACAGATAGGTAATGATTCAGGGGAATATTATTTGGACAAATCAGCAGCTAAAAGTAAATAGGTATATTGATAGATCTTAATTAAAGCAGTGAAGGCATGACATCTTAGCTACCAAACCTCTCTAATCTTGCAAGAAAGAGTCAGGTGGAGCATTCAGTTACTAGCCTTTGCTATTGTTTTGACACATTTGACACAGCTTAGAAGTAAGGGATCTGTCTAGAAACACTATCAGCCAAACAAAGAGTTACCTAACCAAACTTTTGTACCACAGGTACACATTTCTTTGACCATAGCAGGAGTCTGAAACACTTTCCATAAAGAGTTCGATAAGCAAACCCCAATAAAACTCAGTTTCTCAACCATGCCTTTGGAACAGAAATGACATTTTGATTGTTTATTATTCAAATTTGGAGTATATACTGTTTGAAAAGTAGTGCAAGCTTTTCTCATATCAACACATCGCTGTTAGCTGTCTTCATTTCCAGGACAGAGTTCCTGTATCCTAAGGGGAGCCCCTTGAGCAATCTCCATATTATGGAATTGATGTGCAGGCTTATTCACAACTCACACATTCTATGAAGACCTAATACATGTGAACAACCATCATTAACTAATGTGGAATGTGCATATGCATGGCAACTTTTGCTGGCAAGATATGTATAGTTGGGAATCTAGTAGGGATCCAGATTACTCAAGTTCAAGTCTGCACAGGGAATAAGAGCCTGCGATGGAACCCCAATTTCAAACCTCATCTGAGCCATAAATTTGCCAAGTTATTATCCTCTCTGCCATAGCCCCCCTTGTGATATTACTTGCCTAATTAGAGCACTACAAGCTAGGAATGGCTGTCCCAATTTTTGGTTTTGTATCACACACACACAAATAAAATATGGTGGGGGAAGGAAGCTGGGGAAGGGTCATCAATCTTTTCTTTTGGAAGCCCAAGTATCTTTTGGGGGTGGTCCTTGTATTTTAGCCTATAGGGCATTCACAAAGACATTTCAGCTGGAAAAATGGCACAGGAGGTGTGTGGGGAAATGTTGACACTCTTCCCCCACCTAGAAGCAAATTGCTACTCTGCATTTACTTACATTTGCCATTTCTGGCATTTTACTCAATACAAGGCTAAGGCCCCATTAAGTCCAAAGAGAACGGCTAACAGATGTTTGCAAGTCTAATTTCAGTTTATCTTCAAGTTTGGCTGGTTAAAAATATTTTACCTTTGTTATACTCCTGAAATATTGGTGTGAAAAATCCTGCTTCAGAACTGAAAAATAATGTAACACTTTCTGGAAAAGAAATGAGTAGGAGGAAGTGATTCTAGGGCAGTTATATTGTTCTATTAAGATTCACAGTTGAGCCAGCCCTGCAATATGAGTGGTGAGAGTGGTGGTGTCTCTAAATCTGTCAAATTATCCCAAGATCATGACACAAATGGCTGTTGCATCTTCTTTTCACCTCCCTCTTTTAGGTATAGCAGTGGTTACACGGAAGGAGGAGAGGAAAGAGGTCTAATTAGAAGGAATACAAGGAGAGGATTAATGAATGTCTTGAGATGGGAGGGATGACTCTTGTATGGAAAACTATGATAGAATTGGTTAGGAAGAGGATGTGGGGCATATTGGGAATAGCTATTTGATTAAGTTAGGAACCTAAAAATATACACAGACCCATGTGATCCTACTGTAAGCCAATTTCTGAGGGGTGAGGCTGAATCTGGAGCAGGATGGAGTCCCTGCAACCTAGAGTAAGAAGGTAATAATACAAGAAGCTGAAGAAAATTCTCAGAATACTTTAGAAAGTGCTAGTGGTTCTGTTTTGTGTTGTAAATAATCAGAGAAACAAAAATCCACCACACACACTTTTCTGAACCATTTGCCAGCTCTCCTGGTGACTTCATGGTAGCCAACACACTGGCGAGCTCATACAAACTTCTATACAATCTCAAAGAACTGTACAATCCTTTTATTTAACTGGGGCTGGCCAATGATTAGCATGCAGCCCCATGATCCCAACTTGAAATTGTGAACTCTTTCTATTCTAAGAGAAGTTCTGGCCAGTTGTTGGTTTAAAAGATTCCAGTTCACTAGAAATGTATTTCACTCCCAAGAGTGAGGCAAAGAAATATTGCAAGCACACAGCACATGTGGCGATTTCTCTCAAAGCAGGGGGCCACACAGATGTTGTGGCACTCTTGCCTCCCCCCCTCCCCCTCCAAATACAGCTTCAAGGTGTTTCCGCTGAAAATAGACATGTGCCTTCAGCGCAAGGGATCCTTCAATTCCATCCTGGTGACAGCATCCGATATTGACATGGACATATTTATTTCTGTCCAGCCATCCAGAGAATTACTTATTTCTGTCTGGAGGATCCAGTCCTGGGGCCGACATGATTCTTGTACCAAGATGAAACCCTGACAGTCATACCTGCAACCGATCAGGCAATCCTTTGGGAGCTTGCCCTGAGTGACTGCAGCCATTTCTGCATCTTCCTACAATGCCTTTGTCCACTTTGCCTCCTCACTTTGCGGCAAAAGGAGCTTCCAAACCTGCCTGTTAGTCCTCTGCATTTAGCATCGCCGGGTCCTGCCATCCTTGCCATGAAGGTTAGTTCCATGCACTGCGACACAATTCAGGCGTAGTGGGCGCTGACCGGGTTGGGAGGTTTTCTTGGTTATGCCAGCTTGGCTGGAGGTGACAGAGAGAAAGGAGGCCTCTGCGGGATCTGAAGAGCAAGAACAAAAAGTTTAAGAAGTGAGAGAGTTCACATCATAACCAATGGCCAAGATTATCAGTGGTGGGCAAATGAATGCTAGGTCATAGGTACTTCCAAACTTTTTTTTTGCAGCACTCAAGGTCTCCCAGCTCCCAAAATTACATACCCTATTTAAAGAAATTCAGCATTATTACAAGATGTCTATGGCCCACACCACTGGAGAAATTATACTGCTTAGCCGGTATTGCACCACCTGACATCCACTGGGAAGTAGCAGCCAATAATGAAAGGACCAAAGCAGTGACATCTCTGGCCCATCCTCTGTTTGGATATCAGCCAGCACGCCAATGCCTTCAATCAAAAAATAGTTTTCTAAGGTCTACAGTGATATCCGCAGGAACACCTCAGCAAGCAAGAGTCCAAAAGTGGCAGGCTAAAACCCGGAACCTCAATCAGTGGCTGAGACTGGATGAGAGACTCCCTCCTGGGCACACAGAAGACTGGGCAACTTGGAAAGCACTGAACAGACTGCGCTCTGGCAACCTTAGGAAATGGAGCCATGAAGTGGAGTCCACAACAATGCAGCCTGAGCCCTCCCACATGCACAATGGAGGACCTTCTTATAGTAACACCAGAGGCACTCCAAGTGGCCAGCTACTTGTCTAAGGACATTTGAAATAAAGCCAAGTTTTTAAAAACTTTGTGTTTTTTAAAAATACATTACAACTTTACCCTCAGTTCACTTCTGATACGATAAATAAATTTAAAGAAATACATATGGGAAAATTGCTGGAGGTAACCTAAAATGCCACAAAGATGGCCAAAACTGGGCAGGTTACTTTCCCATCCTGCCCAAGATCCATATATTCCTCCATGACATGTTCTTATTATAGTTGCCCTGCCTTATTCTCATGGTTTTACAGGCTTGCAGACACTGTCATCTTTCATTTATAACTTTCCTAATTTTTTCTGCCATTTCCTCCATCTTTGCCCCTAATCAGCAGGGCCAAATCCAGTCTGCCAAGTCATTTTATGCAGCCCTCCAGATGCTGGGCTACGACTCCTGTATTCTTCATCAATAGACATTATGACCAGAGCGGATGGAAGCTGTGATACAGTAACATCTGGAAGACTGAAGTTTATTTTGTTTAGTGGGGTATGAATTTAGATACAAAGCTGTGGATAGGATGCCTGACTTTAAAATGTCCTTTAACCTTTTACCAACCTCAGAGCCATAAGTGTTCTTGGGCTACAATTCCCACAATCCCCAGTCTGCACGGCGGATAATCAAAACTATGCGTGTTGTAGTTCAATAACATCTGTGGATCCAAACTGGGTAAAAACTAAAGAACACTAACTATAATGTAAAAAATACACTTGGACCAGTATATCCACGGATTCCCCATCCATTTATTCCACAGCCTTTTGAAGGCAACCATAAGGCTGATGCAGCCCTCAATGAAAATGAGTTTGACATCCCTGCCCTAATCCATAAAGGAGGGAAAATCATAATAACTACATAATAACTTGCTTTAGGCTCAGCAATAAATAGGAAACTACCTGAAAGTTTTTTTTCTCAGAACCTTCTAAACAACTGCATTATCTCTGCTACTTTCCAGCTTTCCAGTGTGTGTTCATGACAGATGAATTAAAGTGAGATATTATATGTACAGCTGGAGCACATATGCTTTCTGTTAACCGGTGACAACCAACTGTTCTGCTGTGACCCACAGCAAGTTTGCTATAATGGGAAACAAGAGCAATTAACAGTGGTCCCATGGCTTAGCCTCCCTCACCCGATGATGGCTGGGCTGGAAGAAGCTTCGCTTTAGATGACTGTCCTGCAGCTTTTCCAATGCCGCGAGTGTTGTGCATCCCTCCTGCTGCCATAATCTTGTGCTCAGAACTGCTCTCTAGTGGACGCCAGCGACCACCATTGGTTTTTGGACATGGAAGCTGTACATAAGATGAAAGGATGGAGGACACAGATTGGGAATATGCTTTGTGAGTAGGAGATTTATTTTACCACACTTTATTAAAGCCCACTTTTGAGGAAAATTTGGAAATGGGGATTTTAAGGGAGTTAATGGCAATCTGCAGCAAACAGAGATCTTTTCTAAAAAAATTGAAACACAAACCATCCCCCATTCAATGAACGCTGCTAGTCTTTAAAGTGTTATAGAGATCCTTGCAATTGCAAGTGGAGGGACTGTTCCTGTACACCAGAGATGGGTGAACTATTACAGAACGGGTCACTCCATAGAGTAGTAAACAGTAATTGGAGAGGTGCACAGGCAGGCATATACACTAGGGTTGTGCATGCATCTGTTTTAAAAAGTGGTCTTTGGCTGGTTTGGCTGATTCGGATGCCCATAACAACAAGGGCTCTGCTGCCATCTTTTCTTCGTCCAAAACAACAACTGCTGATCACGCTTACTTTCTATTTCTATTCAGTAACATGTGGAGCGTAGAGAGGGTTTCTCTGTGGGCTCTGCCTGTTGAGCCAAACAGAGTGCCTCCATTTCTTACTGGTGCCCTTGCTCTAGAGAGCAGCAGATCAATCGTGTTTCAGTCTGATTGTCACTTGCAGCTTTAGCTTTTGGCTTGGCTTGGCCTTCTACTAGCATTTTCCATGGTCCAAAAAAAGTAGAAAGCTTTCAAACTATGTCCAGAACTAAAAAAGGAATAAACCAGCAGATGATGATCCATTTGCCTCCAACTGATTATAAAAACCCAATTCCACACAGTTGTAGCTCTGGGACCTTGAAGACCTACCCTGTGGCCAGTGACCTCAAAGGACCGTGACCGCCGCTTTCTCCTCTTGGCCTCTAGTGATTCCTCTCTCTTCTCAAGCTTCTTGCTTCCCTTTTTGCTAACTCGAATCCAAGGCCCAGGGGAGTGCCTGGGGGCATTCCTCCTTGGGATGGTCTCACCAGTGCTGGTGGACAAGTTGTCCTCGCTGATGGCATGCTGCATGCTGGGGCTAGCCGGCTGGCCAAGATTCGGGGTCTCCCGGCACAGAGGATCCTCACTCTCGCTCAGAGACTGGAGGGACAGGCTGCTGTGCTCCTTAGTTGGCTCCAGCAGGTTCAGTCGGTCAGACTCCAGCACTCGGGAGCGACGCCGGGCAGCCTTCACTGCAATGCTTTTGGTGCCAGTCACTATTGCCTTACGCTCTGCCAAGGGAGGGGGTATGTAAAAAAAAGAACAATTAAAGCAAACCCAAATACATTGGCATCCATATTTAACAAATGCAGCCATCATTTTATCCTTCTTTAGTCCAGATTTTGGGTTTGAATTAAGATTAAAGATTTGAAGGGACAGATGACAACAGTAACAGAGTTTTTTGGGGGAGGGGGCAATACACAGTAGTAGTAAAGGGTCCTCTCCACACAACCCACAAAATTGAATTGTGTTGACTTGAGTACATTTTGGCAAACAAGTGAACTAAAATGAAAATTGCCACACACACAGCTTCATTATGGCAGATAGGTGAACAGCACTATCCCTCTAGGACAATTACAACATCTTCTCTCACTCTGTGACATGAATGAGAAAAGACAGAGGAGGCTGCTAGAGAACGGTTCCTGTTTATAGCTCTAGTTACCTCCACGCGTCAGGATGCCATCTGAATAGTGATCGCTGTTGTCAGGAGAGGAGTTTCGCTGACTACCCAGGCTAACCAAACTCTCCCGGGCTGCATACTGTGGAGATTGACAAGGAAGTCAAGTCAAGTCAAGGTAGTACAACTTACTATTATAGGGCTAGCCCTGCCACCAGGAAGTATTAAACAACCTCACCGAGCAGCAGAAGCTGGGGGCAGTAACCCCACCCCCCAATATTTACTCCCTATTCTCCTGTGGTGGATGTCCCATGGCCTTTCCCCCCCAAGCATGGTATCACCACTGCAGTTTTCAAATATGCATACTCCAACATAATCACACTTCTTAATGCTCAGTGAACCTCCTCATCTGTAAACTTGGTATGCTCTTCTATAAACATGGCTGTACTAAGCTATTAGAGGTATAAGCAGATCCTCACGCCCTCTGAAATAACCTCCCCTCAGAGACAGGAATTTCCATGCATCTCAAGGTAATCCACTCTATTGTTCATACCTCTTGACTGATCATGCCATTGACATGGATAGGAGGTGGTGTCACTACTGCTGAGTTCTTGATTTGCCGGGCCCGAGGACTGGTCTTGAACACTTGATTTGTTTCATTACTGAGAAAAGAGACAGAAAGGCAGCCTGTTAGAATGTGACCCCAAAACCAGGGCTGAACAACATCTTCAGAAGCAGGCACTCACTACCTCTGCAAAGAAAAAAATAGAAATATAGACTTGGAAGAGACAGAAAGGCCCATCCAATCTAACCCCATTCTGCCTGTGACCCAGTGGGAGGAATGTCAAACTTGAGGCACAATTTCATAAAGTTCTGAAGAGCCATTAGTCAGGTGTCCCAAATAAGCATTTTTTCAAGTGCTGAAGGGAGTGTCAAATAGTCCAAGTTAGACACTTGTGAGAGGTACCAAACTAAATCTTACCTGTCTATCTCTGGAACAAGGGGTGGGAGAGTGCCTCTCCGTGAATCCGGCCACAACTGGTGCTGATACTCAGAGCCCAGCGTCCTTACACTCTCTTGGTCAGAGTCTATGATACTTTCTGCTGGGAGTGGGGGGAGCTTTGGCACAGATGTGTCCTGGAGGACAAACAGCACATCTGTTGTGATAACCATACACCTGTAGGCAAAATCAATGTAGCAAAGCATTCCTCTTTTAAAATGCTTAATGATTTAAAGAGAGTCTGAAGAAAATGGCAACAGCAGCTGTAGCTCAAAATTTAGGAGACACATGCTTAGCTTTGCTCTAAGTTTATCTGGCATTGAAAGTCTATTTTTTCTCTGATCACTTATAATTATTATTATTACCCCGCTTAATCTCTCCTGAAGGAGATCCAACATAGAAAATACATTTTACTGGAGTACAATAAAGTGCCCAAAAATAAAAGTAGGGTGATGTTGTTATGCTTGCAAGGGTTGCCTCATATTTGAATTCTACTGAAATTGAACAGACTAGACCAGCGGTTCTCAAAGTGTGCTTCCTGGAGCCCTTAGGGCTTTGCAAAGCATAGTCAAGGGCTACGTGATTGCCTCCTTCTCCACTGTTCCAAATGTGCAGTGGTGGGGAAGGAGGCACCGATTGGCTAGTTGCTCCCCCCCACCCACCTTTTCCTGCATAGCAGAAGGGGGTTGGACTGGATGGCCCTTGGAGTTTCTGCTATTCTTATTCTTACAAAGGCTGGATGGCCATCTGTTGGGAGTGCTCTGATTTGTGTTTTTAGTGCATGGTAGAAGGGGGTTGGACTGGATGGCCACTGGTGTCTTCCATTGAAATACTGTTAAGGATAAAATGTCAATATTTTAATTTCAAATATTGTATTGTTCTTCCTTCCTTCCTTTTTTACACTACAAATCACCTATGTGCAACGTGCATAGGAATTTGTTCATTTCACCCCCATTTAGTTCACACAAACATTCTCCATCCATCTGCCACTGGCCCAGCTAATCTGTAAAATTTTGAAACACAATGTGGTCCCTGTGTGTAAAAGTTTCCTCATGCCATTTATATTATATTATATTATATTATATTATATTATATTATATATAATATTTCTTGGGGCCTCACGAGAAATCTTTCCTTCAAAAAGAGTTCAGTGGCTGAAATAGCTTGAGAACCCCTGGACTAAACAAACCTTCTGCCAAGTAGCTTAGTCTCATTTCTTATTAATGTGACCAAGTGGGTCACAGCCACCAAGAAGAATGACTGAACAGTCACTAAAACCAGGAATATCTATCAAGAACATTATGTTAACACATTATCCTAACTGGCTTGGGAGAACCAATTTTGAGTAAAATAAAGGATCCCTTTGAAAGCGTCACTTCATTGAATAGTCTACAAAAATTTGGATTGGAAATTTGTTTGCAGTAATGTGAAAGAGAAATGCACGAGCAGTAATAAAATGAGTTGCTTATCTATAACTGTTTCTTCAAGAGGTGATCTGTGAAATTCGCACATACATGTCTCTGCGCATGCGTGAAGCTACCGTCCTGCCCTTCCTAAATAAGGATGTCTGGTTTGCAACAGTTGATTTATAAGACACTAACTTTCATGTCTTGATTAGGTAGCAATATTGCAGGTTCCTTAATTTTGCCATTGGACACCACTCATTTCAACATTTTCCCCTTTGGTTGATCTACTGCCCCCCGGGTGTTCACCAACTGTATGTCTGTTGTTGCGGCATACCTCCGACAGCTTGGGGCAAGTGTATCCTTATACTGATTATTAGCTTCTAGTTGCCGTCTCTGAATTCTAGCTGACATTACATCAACCTTGTCTTGCCTTCAGATGCTGGGTCTTGCTGTCAACCAGGAGAAATCCTGTCCGTCACCAACCCAGAATCCATACTAAACTCTATGGCAGAGAAGGCCTACCTTCTGGAAGACCGATTGCAGGTGCTGAGATCAGGTGTCCTACAAATGTTCTGACAGCACTTCACGCATGCCCAAGACATTCATTCCATCAAGGTCAGTTCATAGAGGTGCACCTCTATGAACTTTTTTGGCATGCTTGGGGGTGAATGCCTAGCAAACATGGCAGGAATGTAATAAGTGCCCTTTGCCATCAGTATCTGGGAGTTTGCCTGTGCAAGCTGAGCGCTTCTTAAAGAAGGTAGTGGGGGACATTTTAACTTCAATCAACAGGAGGCGGGTAGTCAACTGGCCTGCTGGTTGGAGAGGATGGTTAGTGGTTTGGAGAGCAATAGAGTAGTCAGGAACATAGTCGAGTTAAAACCAATCAGTACAGTCCGAGTGATATAAAGCTACTCAAGCCGAAGAGAATAAGTCAAACTAGGTTCCTATGATGCTGCTAGCAGGTGACAAAAGGAACTGAAGCTCAAGTTCTGAACTACTTCGTGCATGCATAGAAGATCCATATGTGCGATTTCACAGACACCATAAAGAAGAACAGCTAGAAGGAAAAACAGACTCTGAGCAGGTAGAATACAATGCCAATTCTGATGGGAGGCAGAGTCTTGGGATGGAAAAAAGATTGTGCAAGATTTTTAATAAGAAGTTGCTCATGGCCTAAGATTCTTGTCTTATAAGGTAAAGCTCAGGGAGGTATTTCTGCGTATTAGGCTTAGCCTCCTGCTATATTCAGATATTGTGAACTATGTAATACATAGGCAGTGAATTTTGTTCTAGATTAGGAACAAGGGACTTCAGACATAGTGGCAATACAGTACCTTGAGAGCCCTAACAGCTACGTGGTCAAGAGCAGCAACTCGATCTAAGCTGCCTTCTTCCAAGTCTTGCAGGTAAACCTGATACAGTTCTTCAAGGTGGGATGGTACCAACATCTGAGACTCTGGCATGATTAGAGGAGACAAGAAAGAGATACAGATTGGAAAAGGAAGCATCTCATACAGGTTTCAATTCTGGTCTGTAACTGCACCCACTTAAGACTTTAAGTATGTGTATGTGTATGTGTATTGCAGCAGAGCAGTGTATCCAACAGCATCATCCAGTGGCAGGGCATCAAATTGCAAAATAACAGCACTGTATTACACCACAGAATTAGGATGCAAAATGTCTTGTCTGCAAAAAAGAGCAGTTTGTGCTCAATTGAAAAGGGAAGAGAAAGGGGGCTCCATGCTGTGCTTTAAAATGCTTCAGAGATTCTATGAGAGGAGGTTTCCACACTGACATCACTCTTTCTCTCCTCTGAGACACACCCTACATTGGCATTAAACACAAGAGGTGGGAAATGCAGCTTCCTTCTGTACTGTCATGAGTCGGAGTGTGGATGTAGCCTATAAATGCACTGGCCTAGTGTGCCTACACTGAGTAACAGTGGAACCATACCTTGAATTATCTGTCGCTGTTCATGGATAATGCGATGACAAAGGCTGCGGTGGCGCTCAAAGCGGCGCACGGTTCGTTCTTGGTGGCGGATGAGGTTGTCCTTGAGCAAGGAACCAGACTGAATTGCTGTGTTCTCCACCTCAAGTTCATGCACCTTACACAGCAGACTCAGGACCTCTCGTTGCTCTTCTGAGCTGATGCGCCATGGCAAGGCCTCTTCCAGCCGGTGACCACGCTGCCGAACCTCCCAGAAGCGCTTCTCTAGCTCTGCCTGTCAGAGGAGAGAGTCACAAAAGTTCACAGGGACAGCAGAGCAGCAGAAGTTGTCCTAGAGGACTGCTCCTGACTTGAAAACTGCTACACACCATGGATATTGCTCTTTCCTTGTAACTAAAATCCCAGTAGTTATCTCCCCACTTTCTACTGTAGCTAATACCCCGCAATCCCTGGATTTAAGAACCTTCTGCTTCTGTAGTTTATCCTGCTCTCCCAGGAGGGTGGTGATGTGCTCCCGAGCTAACATCACTTCCTGTGGCTCCGGCGCATCGGACAGGTCATCCCCAGTGTCAGAATCCTTCTCACTTTCGTCTTTGGTGTCGCTCTCTTTCCTCTGTTCCTCTCGCCACTTCTGGGCCCGGCGGGCCTTCTCCTGCTCCCAGCTATAGTTTGTGAATGAAGGAGAAGAGAAGAAAGATAAAAAGAATGTATTAGGATCATGATCTGGAAAAAGTCAAGCAGCAAATGGGTGACCAGCAATATTTATCTGGCACCTTTGCAGAGACATGGCAGCCTAAACTCCCAGTGCTGGTGGACATTGAACAGGGCATCCCAGAGGCCTGGTGAATGCACCCTGCCCACTCTTGCTTCCTGCTTACTCAGCAATGATGAGTAGGTGGCGGGAGCTCTCAATCTGGATCTCCATGTAATTATTCTCCAGCTCCATGAGGTGTCGCCGCACATCCATCTGCTCTCGGAAGGTGCTGATAAGCTGTTCCCGCAGCTGGTCCATCTCCTGCCTCTCAGAGGAGTTTCCATGGAGCTGCACTTCCGCTGTGATAGAATACATGGTGAAGAAGTTTTGAGCTGATGCAAAAAGTCCAGTCAAAATCCTGAGAGAGAAAAAGCTACAGAACTCAGCACAGAATTTGCAAAGCTCTATCGCAAGGTTCCCACATCACCTGTGTCCAGTCTCTCTCTCTATAACAACTATATGTTAGTAGAGACTCTGAAAACTGCAGCCTGATTACTATACAAAGCTCCAAGGTTATTTTTGAAGTAAAAGGATCCCAATTCTTGGCCCTCTCAAGTTTGTGGAAAAAAATATTTTAAAATTCAAAATGTCTTCCTAAATGGTTGTGGAGGCCATCTAGCAAATTCCCTCTCACAAGTCTCATTTAAGCCTCATTTATAAAGCAAGAAGTAAAGTAGAAGGTATTTCCAATCTCTGCCTGGTTCAAATATGGCTTTTCCCGGGAGTAAAACACCCCAGTCGGGCACTCAAAACATAGCAAACGTACAAGTGCTTAGTCCATCCTGAGCAAGCCTAAAAGAAGCACCAAACCCCCTCTACTCTTTCCTTGCTGGCCTTTTTGAGTGCTGGAGTGAGTCTCCTTAGGGGGTGAAAAATCTGGCTATAAACAAACATATAGTAGACTCTCGCTTATCCAACATAAATGGGCAGGCAGAACATTGGATAAGCAAAAATGTTGAATAATGAAGACTGAATAAGGAAAAGCCTATTAAACATCAAATTACATTATGGTTTTACAAATTAAGCACCAAAACATCATATTTTACAACAAACGGACATAAAAAGCAGTTCAATACATGGTAACGTTATGTAGTAATTACTGTATTTACGAATTTAGCACCCAAACATCACAATGTATTGAAACAGCAGTGGATCCGGGAGAGAGACTGTGTTGGATTATACAGAAAAGTTGGATGAGCAAAGGTTGGATAAGCGATACTCACTCTACTGTAATAAAAATCTTTTTTTTCAGTGTCAGGAGCTACTTGAGAAACTGTAAGTCGCTTCTGGTGCGAGAGAATTGGCTGTCTGCAAGGATGTTGTCTGGATGTTTTGATGTTTTACCATCCTTGTGGGAGGCTTCTCTCATGTCCCCAAATGGGGAGCTAGAGCTGACAGAGGAAGCTCATCCACACTCTCCATGGGATTTGAACCCCCAACCTGTCAGTCTTTAGTTGTGCTGGCACAAGGGTTTAACCCATTGCACGACGGGGGGCTCCATAAAAATCATTAAGCTATCAACATCATAGGAAAGGTGACAATGGTTTTCCTCCCTCTCTGCAGAATAACCTTCAACTTACCCATGGGTTCACAATTTTGCTTCCAAACCTTGTCTCAACGTATGTATGATGTCAGCTGATATAAGAATATATATGGTAACTTTTGTTATACACTACCTGTTCCCCGGTTTGGGGACTTTTATCCTCCTTGCCCTGCCCAGACCGCAGGAGGACTCCCTAACTGCATTTGGCCCCAGGGCTGAAGATGGCTTGCTAGCCCTCATTTAAGACCTGAAGCCTCCAAAGGCCAATTGCAAGGATGCTGGACAGGAGAACAACATAACATAGAAATGTAAGTCTGATGGCACAAACCCAGGGCCTAGCTGGTCTATTCATCTGCTTTTATCCAGCTATCTTTGGGGAATCTACAAGAAAGACATGTGCGCTGTAGCAAGCCCCCACCCCTCTTTGCAAATGGCATGCATAGAAGAATACTGTCTCTGAAACATAATGATGCAGTCATTATTTTTCTTGGTTTGTTTAATCTCCTAAATACTTTTGCCTACGACTTGACAGGAACACCCTTCATACCATGCAGGGGTTTTTCTACCTTGAATGCTGCGGATATCATGCCTTGCTGGCCGTGGCTCTTGTTGTTCAATCTTGCGCTGGAGTCGATGAATCTCATTCCGCAGATCAGCAATGATACTTGTGTACTGGGCAATGTGGTAAGAGACATTAAGAAGGTTGCGCTTTACCTACCAAGAAAGAAGGGGAAAGTGGGTGTGGATACTAATGTTAGAAGGACACACAGAGTGCAACTTCCAGTATTATTTCTTGTAGTATTTGCAAGTCACCTTTCAAGAATTTGTGGGCCACTCATGGTTGTTTACAACTGTTAAATAAAAAATTCCTTTCCATATATATTTTTTTCATGTCAAGAGATGATGATCAGGGCTAGAGGAAGGATTGGTTTGAGTCAGAATGAGTAGGCTGCCCACCTAATATAAGGTGTAAAGGAGAAGAGAAGGAGTAAGAATATGCAGAGCAAAGTGCAGAGGCTGCAGGACAATACCGTTGTGCGGATACTCTTGGCACGCTCAGCATAGGTCAAGGTGCTGCGAGACTCCTCAAAGGCACTGCTGGCGGGACTGATGTGAGCGATCATCACTGTTCGGCTGTTCCCTCCCAGTGAATCCTAAGTTAAGACAACAAGACCCGAGGGCTCAATGGAGGTGTCCTGAAACTGACTCTCAGCAGATGACACAGAGAAAGTAGGAACCAGCTGGATCAGGAACAACACAGGGTGTATCTGCACTGCAGAATAAATGCAGTTTGACATTACTTTAACTGCCATGGCTCAATGACACAGAATCCTGGGAGTTGATGAGGCATTAGCCCTCTTTGACAAAGAAGGCAGAAGACTTTGCAAAACTACAACTCCCATGGTTCTATGGCACTGAGCCATTGCACTTAAAGTGGTATCAAACTACCTTAATTCTACACTGTACATGTACCTACAGAGATGCTGAATTCCAGTTCAGGCTTTGATACCAAGCCTAAATAGGGCAGGTAGGAATCCCGTAAGGCAAAGCTTATTAAATTGGAGATGGGCATTCCCTGCCCCCACCCTTCCACCCTTTTACTTCAAGAATGTTGTCCCTCCTGCACCCATTCATTAGTGCAGTCAATATATAATGTGGGAGCTTAGTAAGTGGTGACAGAGTCCCAAGCTCCAACTGAGATTTAAAGAATTGTTTAAGTTTCTTCAGCAAGAGTGCAAGGCCTTACAGGAGGGTGGTCACCTGGAAAAGGCAGGGATTTAAGAGGGAAAAAAAGAGTTTAAGGAAAAGTTTAAGATGGTTGCCGTCCATGTTGTGAGCCGTGGGGAGATGGGATGGGATACAAATAAAGTTGATTGATTGAAGTTTAAGCCCTACTAGTGACATGCCATAGGGTTGATCCTTATCAAGTTTGCATGTGCTTACTTGAAAGATAGAAAGCAATGAGGAGTCAACAGCACACTACATATTCAGTGCAGTGGAAAGTTTAGTCCTTGTGCTTATATCAGTTGTATGCTTGGAGCTATCCATGGTTCTGCGGCTATAACTCGAGTCTCAAGGGTAGCTACGCTTAAGCCTCTATCAAGTTTCAAAGGCTCCTGGTCAGTTTCCGCACAAGATAAGGGTGACATGGTCCTTGGTCCACATTAGGGACAGGGAGCATATTCTACCAAATGTGTGTAGGAGGAGGATGGTGGGCAGACAAGAATGTCCTTTATATTTATAAATATGCAGATGATACTACTCATTTTCACAAGTTCAAGGAGCATTTAAAGCAGTGTTTGTAATCAGTAATGGACTGGATGAGGCTAAACAAATTGAAACGTAATCCTGACAAGACAATGGTGCTCCTGGTCAGTCAAAAGGCAGATCAGGGAATAGGGATTCAGCAGCCTGTGTTACACTAAAGTCAGTCTTGAACTTGGAGGTGTGGTCAGGAGTGCTACTGCACTTGAACAATAGTAACTAAAAACATTAAAAATCAATCAAAGAAAAATTAACAGTTCACTAATAAAAAACAAATGGAGAGCACTTTACTAGTTAAACCTTCTTCCTTCAGTTACAATCAGTTTTTACTAATGCTAGCCTCAATAAAAAATGTCGGTGTAAAGGAAGTGGTGGAGCATTAGAGATTCAACTAAGAAGGACTTCTCTTGCCTCTCTTCCAGATATTCATCTGAAAATGGTGTGACTAACAGAGCCTTTCCTAAAAATCTTAAAATCCAATAAACTATTGCAAGAAAACATATTCTTCCAAATAGCCTAACCCCAAGTACATACTATAGGACTTTATGGCTCATGATCAGAACTTTGAACGTGCCTGGAAACATATCCGTGAACAAGTTGTAGTAACAAAGGGTCCCCTACTCCCTGTAATTGGCCCTAGACAACAGTCTGGCCAGCCCCGACATTTCTAGACACTTTTCAAAGATAAGTCCACAGTTAACATGTTACACCACATCAGAAAGGATGTAACTGAGAAAAGTGTCACCATGTCCAAATAAAATTTAGTTATACAGGCTGAGTATCCCTTATATGAAATGCTTAGAACCAGATTTTTCGATATATTTGCATATATATCATGAGATATCTTGGAGAAGGGACCACCGTCTAAACACGAAATTCATTTATTGTCAAGTCTCGCAGTTGATGGTAGTTGGGAACGGAATGCCTAGCAGTTGGGGGTGGCTATTGTAGTGGCATGTTTAGCAGTTGATGGTGGTTAGTATAAAGAATGCTTGGCAGTTTGGTGATAGGTAATATAGGATCATGACTAGCAGGGTGGTGAGGCTGCAAAAGGTATGGAAAGGGTTAATCTCCCGCCTGGTTGTAAAGGTGAGAGTGATCTGTCTGTAAGAACTCACAGACGGCAGTAATCAAGGGGGAGGCCTGCAGAGATAGGATGAAGCTGTGGTCAGCTGCATAAAAAGAACCTGGCTAGACACTGCTCTTTGGGAGAAAAGGATCTGTTATACTTGGCTGTGAATGCTGGTGGTTTTTCCCCTGGGTTGGTGGACTGTGGTATCCTGACCTATATCATGAACTCTTGTGAATCTTGAACTGTGATGATAATTTTGTTGGTGAACTCAGTTGCTTTTGTATCCTGTTGTGGATCTTGATGTACCTTGAATCCCTGGACTGACTCTTGACTATGGATTTTGGATTACCCTTGAATTCTGGTTTATCTGGCTTGACCTTTGGAACTACAGCTATGCTTTGTACTCTTGAACCTTGGAACATTAATCAGTGAACTCTCAGCGTTTGACTCTTGGACTGCAACCTTGACTACTGTGTACTCTTGATCCTGAACCGGGCTTGTAGTACACTTCTTGTTCATGAGACTTTGCTTTATATCTTCAGCTGTGTGCTATCTTTATGTTTGAACTCAGACACTGAAACAGCCAAGTGATTAAGTTACTGCTTTAAGTAAAATAGTTTTGACATAAACCAGGTGTAGTCTTGGTTAATCTCTGCCTGCATACTGGCAGAGCCCTGGATCTTAACATTTATGTTCATATACAACTCATACACATAACTTAAAGGTAATTTTATGAATAATAATTTAATAACTTTGGGCATGAAACAAAGCTTGTGTATATTAAGCTATAAGAAAAAAAGGATAACATGCCATCCATGCCCCCCCCCCCCCCAAACACACACACACCAATTTCACCTATTGGCATACTTACCTTTAGRAGGCGTGTGAGTTTGCTATCTCGGTAATTGACATATTTGACACCTGCCCTATCACTGAGTGCATTGATGCAGTTGCCAAGAGCCAACAGGGAGCGGTTGATGTGAGCTCCCTCCTTCATTCGCTGCCCACGGTTCTGCGTCTGTGGGAGAAGGAAAATAGGTTGGACAAGAGAATGAAGTAGTTGTTCTGGCAAAGAACAGGCACAGAGCATGCTGTGCCATTTTTCTGGCCTGCAATTTTCAGAGTGGGTTGGAATCTGTTCCTCACATCCAACGTTTCAGTTGCCTTCAAAAGGAACGTTTGCAGAAAAAAAGGGTAGCAGAAAAGTCACGTGGCTTGAATTAAGCCAGGACGACAAGAATAGTCTTCCAACTAGAAAAAAATGGGACAAGGAAGCTGGGAAAGGATAGGAGTATAATAGATTCAGGAAGAAGATGGAGTTGCTGGGAGAAAATGGCAATTGTGCTAGTGAAATGGGGCAGAGTTGTTAAGACGTCCCTTCAATGTTTGAATTAAAAACCCACCGAGGCTGTTTTCATGAGAACAAAGCTGAAAACTTTATGGCCTCACCCAATTTCATTGACAAGGGCAGGAGTATTACGTCTTTTAGTGTAAGTATTTTAACGGTCTCATGTTTGAGCCATGAATTTTAACTGTGTAGTAAGCTGCCTCGCACTATGATGGTGGCCAGGGGGCGGGGGGATAACAAATAAATGATGATGATGATGATGATGATGATGATGATGATGATGATAATAATAATAATCTGCTACTTTTTTCTTCTGGGCTTGTTCGCAAACACACTTGGGGTGTGTTTGTGGGCATTCACTGTAGAGAAGGATTTCCCCTTTACCTCCTACCTGAGAGGCTCGCTCTGAGCCAGCTAAGTCGATCATGAAGAGTCTGCCCACGCGCACCTCCTGCATAATATTCTTGATGCGGCTCTTCTGGCGCACAGTGACCTGCAGTATAGCATGGGAACGTGAGGAAGTCCGGTTGGCTGCCGTGGGCTCCTGTGTGCGTTGCTTATTGCCCTTCATGAGCAGCTGCATTATCTGCAAGGAAGAGAAGGAGCTGAAAACAACCCTGCAGAACCACCCAGAACTCATGAACATAATACAGTGTACATGGAGGCTTATCTAAGTTCTGGCGGTTTTGTGCTAGCATCAAAAAAACAAAAAACAAAACAAAACAAAAAAACAGGCAAGAGACACAGAAAAAGGGAGAAAGATTAATCTGAGCTCTAAACCTCTTGATCTCTGAAACTTCTGGTCTGGACATGGTGGCAAGACAGCTGAAGTTTTTTTAGGCAAGCAACCAACTTTGTGGCTTACAAGAACCCTGTAATGGGTCTGGAAAGCTATCTAGGCTAGATAAATCAAAGAGCCAGATAACGGTGTATACTTCTTGCATTGCAGCTGTCAAAAAGGGGCTGCCTGAATAGCGGAATCCCCTAAAAGGATTCCATGGAGACAGCCTTCCCAAGACAGCAGGGCTGAGAGAAGAAAAGAAGACACCAAAACACACACACACACACAAGTCAGACTACTGTAAACTATCATCGCTGTTCCAATCCAGCAAGTTTTTGAAAATTGTTTAATTTGTTTTACATCCCAACACCCCTAAAGATTCCTAGAAGTTAAAAGAAAGAAGCAAAGAAAAACAATATGCTTTAAGTCCTAATTGTGGAAGGTGGAAAATTTTTTCTGTTGGGTGCGTCACTGAATTATGGGAATGATGACGTCTGAATTTGGCATTGTGTTTATTGTTTTTATACTGTTTTTATTATATTATGTATATTTATGCTTTTCTCATTGTAGGCATTGTGCTGTGCCAGTTGTTAGCCGCCCTGAGTCCCTCTGCGGAGGTGAATAGGAAGGGATATAAATGCCCTAAATAAATGAACAGTACATTTTTCATTGGTAGTTATACTTCTGTAGAGCCAGCATGGTTTAAGTGTTGGACTAAGATTCTGGAGACAAAGGTTTGAATCCTGGTTTGGCCAAGGAAATCCCCTGGATGACTCTGGGCAAGTCATACTCTTTCAGCCTCACAAGAAGGCAAAGGCAACCCCCATCATTAAGACAGCATCTCCTTGGGGTCACAAATAACCACAATGAGTTGAAGGTACACAACAGCAACAATCATGCTTCTATTAATGGAATGTTGAAAAATACATCTCTATTTTAACGTTTCTCTCAGTCAATACAGTGCAAACATTTAAGCTTTTATGTTACTTTTATGTTACTAGAACTTCACCCATCACAGATTCCTTCCCATATCAAAAAACTTGAAACCGACTAACTTCCAACAGTAGTGATGGAAAGCTAATCCAAGCGGAGTGAATCCCAGACCAGAATAATCAGGATATCCATGAGTGGTGTAAATCTTTGGGAATTTTTATGGGATTTTAGGGAAAGATATATTGGGAATCCAAAATAGCTAAGGAATGCAAAGCACCATGCCTCAATGCATACATTTCTAAGTTTTTAACTTAACTTTTAAGTTTTTAACTTAAAATCCGTTTTAACTCTGTTTAAGATGTTGCAATTTTTGAAATGTTTAGGTGATTGTGATGAGGCACGATGTTGTGCCACTGTAAGCCGCCTTGAGTCTCCCTGTCAGGGTAGAGAAGGGTGGGGTACAAGTATGGCAAATAAATAAATAAATCCCTTTACCCCTTGTAAGTTATATTATTAGAGCAACTCAGAGGTACCAATTCTATGCAAGGGGTATGCAACTGTGACTGGAACTTCTGTGATTCCTTATCATTGGTTGGTCTGCTGCTAGCTAGGTTATTCTGGGGTTGCTGAAAGTTGAAGTCCAAAAAACAACAACAAAACATTGCTAGGCCATAACTGTCCATTCCTGTTCTATGTAACATTTTCCTCAAGTAGGAATGTCTCTGCTAGTAAAAGTCTTCCACAAGAGCCTACGCTCACTTATTTGAAAGGAAGCTGCCGTGAACACCACAATGCTTACTTCTAAGTACATATAGATTGGATTTGGCTGTCCACGGCTCAACATCCTCCTACTAACAGTTGCCAGAAGAACTGCGTTGATTCTTTCCCCTCTTACACAAGAAGATAAAATAAGATACATGAAACAAGAAAATGAAATTCAATATTATTTTTTCTTTTCCACCTCAAAAAACAAGAATATGAAATTCAATATCAGTTTTTCTCTTCCACCTCAAAAAACAAATCCAAATGCAAACAAAAACCACCTTTATAAACTTGCCCTTATCCCCAGCTTAATGGCTTACTAGGAGCTTATGGAAAGCCATGTCACCTTTCAATAAACAAGAGAACAAACAACAGTTGAAACTGCTCAAATCTCTAGCAACCAAAAAGAACAAATATACGACTAGAAAAAGAGGAGCAGTCAATGATGCTGGGATGACAGCATTTTAACAAGGGTAATCTATACCATCCCAGCCATAGGAAGGTGTGCTAGATAGACCCTAAGTTTGACCAAAGCTGGATCAAACTGACTGAATCTGAATTTTCCTTTGAAACAGTCCAAGATACTCACAGTGATGGGTACAAAGGCTTCTGCATGGAATTTAGAAAAGGTATCTGTTTACATTAAAATTTCCAAAATCTTTGGTTGCAGAGTAAGATTATAGGAGTTATAACCCAAAAGATTTGTGTTTCTCTGGAGTTCCACTCTCACAGAACATGAAACTAGTACAGGTATAATTGTTCTGCAGAATCCCATTTAGCAGAAGTGAAACAGATGGCCTTCCAGTCCTCTCCATTGCCACAATTGGTTTATATCAATTCACCTCCTTGGCATTGATGGTGGACACTTCAGTGATCCCAGCCACTTGGATTACACCTTTGGAGTCTTCACGCAGGTCCAAGTAGCCCAGGGATGGGTTAAGCAGGTCCCGGATCATCTCATTGTAAATCTAATTCAGAGAAAGAACAAAGACCCATGACCAGATCTGAAATAAAGGGCCAGATGTCATTGAACTCTAGTTTTCTGCAGCCTCAGACCACCCATCTCAGGGTGTACCATGATGGGAATAGTAGCACATAGATTGCCAAGCTTTCCCCAGGCCTTGAGTGGCCAATAGGCTGAGAAAGGCGGTATACAAGTATAGTAAATAAATAAATAAATATTTTATCTAGTTTTGAAAAGAATGGATATTAAGCAGATCAGTCCAACCCTAACATTAGGCAGCGATGCAGCCACCCCAGGCAACATATTTCGGTTGCCATGAAAAGGCTGAAAATTGTTATTAAATCTTGTAGTATTTTTTTCCTACTGTGCATGGGAAGAAGCATTTGGGGGATCTGGCAGGCTTTGGGCAAAATGCATTTGACCAGGATGGGTAATAGTGTTTGCTGCTAAGCCTCAAATAGCAAGATGCCATTGGAATGCTTCTGTGTTCCACCTGAGTAGCAAGATGTATGCTTATGACATCTCCTCAGTGACAAAGAAATTGGCCTTCACAAAGGTCCTAACACTTACGTAAATATAGCCTTCCTGAAAGCAATGTGACCAGATCCCTAGAAGTCAAAGTGGGATTTGGGAGTTACTTTTTCTGATGCTAATGGGATTTGAATTATTTTGCCTAGACTTTATAACTTTTTGTCACCCAAGATCAAATGGCCTAATAGAGGAATGGCCACTATCTTCAAGGCTATCTCGACAGATCACCTTAACTAACAACAACAAAAGAAACATCTTGACAAAATGTAGGCCTGGGACTCTAACATAGTAATTTCTCCTGTAACATTTTAACATCTTTGCTGATGAAGAAGCCAGAGAAGCTTTGAAAACTTTCATCATGTATTTTATATGGTTTTGGTTAGCCCCAAAAGGGTATCACAGTTTTTTGGATTTTGGGTGTTACTACATTTTGTTGCATGGACAACATGGCTACCTCAATATGTTTTCTATTAGTGTAATAGCTATAATTACAGAACCTGAAATTATAATTGTTGCTTAGGCATAAATGCTAGGTATCGTCTACTTTTAGATTGTATTAATTTCCTACTCTACCCAGGACATTTGGCAACGTCACCCCAATGCCATCTCCTCCCTAGAATGCACAACTTAACAATACATTGGCAACAGAACATTTTAAAATATTTTTGCCAATATCTGAATAAGACTTGAGAATGAAAATTGATCTCAGAGAAGACTAGTGGAAGTTGGAAAATTGGTTTCAGCATAGAGTAGATGCCAAAAGCAAAGCTGGCTGGATGATGGAATAAGTACCCAACCGTAATATGGAAAGACACAGAAAGGTACTTTAGTTCTTTTGGCATGTTCTTACACAGTGGTGCTCATCTCACTCCCTGTTTGTTGCCAGGTGGCTGTTTGCTCCAAGCTACCAACATATGTCAATATTATACTAGCTTGAGGCCTGATGTGTTACCAAGGTGATTATCTGTGCACACTAGCATGTGTACAGCAGCCATAAAGGCTGAAAGGATGGAAAGGGTGTCAGAGCAGAGCACTAGGTTAAGGCGAGGCACAGATTTAAGGTGAGAATGCATCTCTGCTGGAAAAACTGCTTCCCATTCAGGTTTTGTCTATTCAGGTTTTGAAGATGAACATAGCTAAAGAAGTACAGTGATGTAATGCATAAATGGTACAAATTTGTATTCACCAGCTTTCAGGAAAGGGTTTCCTTTGTGTGTTTCAGACTTATACTTTGGTATCTACATTACAAACACATGACTGAGTCTTCTGTTTACATTGAATACCAGGTGCTGTAAAACTGTATTTCAGAGAAAGGAACTCGCAAAATCATCTTGGTGACTGGAAGGCACATACCATAAAACACTACATCTAGCCAGGAAAAAAATGAAGTGCACAAATCAAGGATAGAAAACCCCTGGCTATTACTTCCTTTGATCTAGATCAGTGGTTTTTGTTCATCTTTTTCCAATTAGTTCACACAAACACTCTCCATCCATCTGCCACTGGCCTGGCCTGTCTGTCAAATTTGAAAACACAATGCATCGAAACGTTTGCCCATGCCTGATACATATACATTATATATAATGTAATGTATAATGCAACATATAATGTCATATATAAACATTTAAACTTTTTCTTCAAAAAGGGCTCTGCAGCTGAAAAAGTTTGAGAACCTCTGATCTAGATAATACACTGCTTTTGATGCAGCCTAGAATATCATTGGCTTTTTAGTTGCCGCATCATGTAGGATGTAGATACTACGTAGAAGGTGAAGACAGCTTGTTTCCTGCAGACCCAGAGACTAGAACACCAACCAAAAGGTTCAAATTATAAGAAGAGAGATTCTACCTAAACATTAGAACTTTTCTACTATGAGAGATAACTGAGAATGAAATAGCGGGCTTCAGAGAGTAGTAGGGTCTTCATCTTTGGAAGTCTCTAAATAGCCTAGAAGGCGATATTTAGCATGGCAGGGGGTTGGACTAGATAGTCATTGTTGTTCCTTCCAACTTTAAGATTCTATCATCCTAAATCCTCCTCCTCTGCTCTCATAGTAACCCACCTCCAAGTAGGACATAGACACTTCATAATCCATGTCATTGCTGGTTTCCTCAATAGCATGGAAGAGATCATTGAGCATGCGTACATAAATGCCAGGTTCACTGTCTGTGCCAAGCATGGTGTAGGTCTTTCCACAACCTGAGAAGAAGAATTGGAACATGTTCAGTTAACAGATGATATAGTTTCATTTAGGAGGCACCCAAATTGGAACTCCAGCTGAACAAATTGCTCTTTAAAAGGAACTCTTTCCTCCTACCAACTCTTCACTTTTCAACAGAGGCCATGGTAAGGTGAGATGTGTTGACTACCAAACTCTTTAGAGTAGACAAAGGTAATGGCTCCTTGGGAGCCCAATTTCTTTGCCTTTATGCTCATAAATGAAAAAAAAATTGTGACTTAGTAACAAATTATGGCATTATTATTATTGTCATTATTATATTTTATACCCTGCTTTTTTCTCCACAAAGGAGACTCAAAGCAGCTTAACTTGGTTTCCCTGGGACAGGATGATTTCCTACATACTTGTGATGCTTGTGATGGAATGGTTACGTTCAACAGGTTTTCTGGAATAAGTATAAGAAATGGTATAAATATGGAACAAGTGATTTTGGACAAGTTTTGTGCTTCAGATTTACTGTACTAAAGAACAGGTAATTTCATTGGGTAAAAATTGGGCACTGTGTTTCAAAAAGACCAAGGCATTCAGTCAAAAGATCTCAATTGATCCTACTCTGCTTAATGGCAGAGAATGCTGCTAGGAACCCATCCTAAAGGATGCAATCTTGAAGTTTGTCATACTGATTCCTGACACACACCTTATGCTTCAAGTTGCCAGAACCCATTGTTAAAACCAGAGCAAGAAGAGACAAGTTTGTCCTCTTACCAGTGGGGCCATAAGCAAAAATAGTAGCATTGTAGCCCGAGATGACACCTTCAATGAGCCCTTTTGTGGTAGTGCGGTAGACTATGTCCTGCAAAGGAAGATGAGCACATGAGAATATCAATAAAACAATTTGTTCCTCGGAAAGCAAATACACTGAATAAGAGCAAACAGATGTCAACAAACTGTTTTTATGCCAGTTGTTTCCACTCTTTGCTCTTCTCCTTAACTACAGCCCTGCAAACAGGCAGACAGAGGAACTGAGTTTTTTTTTTAAAAAAAATACTGTCACAATAATTGCTTTTAGGGCTGAAAGAAACTGAACACTCCTCAAGGTAAAAATGTTAGCCATGAATTTGAGCTAGTTTTATGTTGCATCATCCCCTGTTGTTGTTATTATTATTTATTGATGTTTATTCACTATTTTTCCTCTTACAATAATGGTGTTTATATTTAATGTAATATTATGTGAAGCCCCAGATGTGTCAGAGGCCTGTGTCAAAATTATTAAGAAAAACAATCTCTATGTATCAAACCTCTCTACACCATATAGCTTATTGCAAAACTGGACACAAAGTAGACCAAAAGGAATAGTTTCATAGAACTGTTGCAAGGAAAAGGGGGGACATCTTCAAAGCAAATACTAATATCACCAATTTTTGCAGACAACTGCTCTTCAGGCACACTGGCAGGCTCTTTCTGTAGGATGAATCAAGTCACCTAAAGTCTTGGCCAAGGGACCAATATTTGTTCTCATTTGCTTCAGCCAATGCTCAAACTTCCTTATTAAGCACACTTCATTTTGTGGGAGCTGCTATGAAGGCCAAGAGGACTTGCAACCTCAAGGAGATTTCAGTGTCATTTCTTCCACATCATGCCTGGCCAATGCCTATTAAGGGCTGTAAGGGAGTGACCACAGTAGGGCACCCGTGTGATTGCACACTTTCCCTAACTACCTTTTTACAACAATTCATCTTCCCAACCCCCTTCCCAGTTCTCACTTGAGGAGAGACAATGAGCAGAGGGGGAAGGCAGCTCCAGTTTCAGTCTAGTGTGCAAATTAGTTTGAAATAGAGCTGATGAAACAGGAGCTTATGGTTTGGCCCAGCTGTCCCACATGCCACCTGGTACTACCTTCAAGACAAAGAAGGGAGAGGCTGGGATTACAGAAGAAGTGCCTTCAAGATGAACTAAGAGATGTAACACAAAAGATGTGTATAACACTCTCCTGATTATCTTTTTTGAACAAATGAAAAGCAGGTGGGGGAATTGAAAATGCGAATGAAGACGAAAGGGAATTGTTTAACCGCTCACTTTCCCTATGCTTCTGCAATGCATGTGGGGAACTATAAGGCCATGTATAATATTCTCCCTGCAAGCTGCAAAAGAGATGGGAGATCTCGAATAGAAGAAATAATTTTTGGGGTAAGGCATAATAATCTCTCTAAAACCTCCCTTCCTCTAGCCATTCCTCTGACTAAGTACTATCACACTAGGCTAACAATGCAAAATCACAGCTGGATAAAAGCACATTTGGTGAGGTTTGATTATATGACTTTATGTCTGTCTCGTGGTGGCATTCTGCTAGAATAGTAATTGGATTATCTCTTTTCAACGATGGAAAAATCCATTATTGAATTCATTATCACTGTTGCCCCACATGATTTCTTGTGCAGTGCTTTCCTTACAGGGTTGCTGTGAGTTTTTCGGGCTGTATGGCCATGTTCCAGCAGCATTCTCTCCTAACCTTTCACCTGCATCTGTGGCTAGCATTTTCAGAGTTTCTGTGGTAGTGAGGCAAGTGGAATGTATATATACCTGTGGAATGTCCAGGGTGGGAAAAATAAGCCTTGTCTGTTTAAAGAAAGTGTGAATGTTGCAAAGAGCAAACTTGAATTATCATTGGAATAGCCATGAAGTTTGCAAAGTGAAGGCATCTGCATAGAGGTAGCCTAGGCTATGTTGCCTAGAGGCATCCTCGATCTGGAAGGTTTTAACTGGCCCTTTATTGCTTGTTGTCTGGACTTCTCCTGTTTCTGAGTGGTGTTCATTGTTTATTGTTTTGACTCTGGTGTTTCTTTTAAATCCTGGTGACCAGATTTTGTTCATTTTCATAGTTTCCTCTTTTATGTTGAAATTGCCCACATGCTTGCGGATTTCAGTGGCTTCTCTGTGTAGTTTGCCATAATGGTTGTCGAAGTGGTCCAGAATTTCTGTATTCTCAAATACTAATCTGTGTCCAGGTTGGTTTATCATGCGTTCTGCTACAGCTGATTTCTCTGGTTGAATGCAGTGCCTTTCACGTTCTTTGAAATGTCTACATAGGTGGTCCCTATGTAGATTTGTCCATAGCTGCACAGTATATGCTAGACTCCTGCAGCAGTTAGAGAATCCCTCTTATTCTTTTCTGAACGTAGCATTTGTTGAATTTTCTTAGTGGGTCTGTAGATTGTTTGTAGGTTATGTTTCTTCATCAGCTTCCCTATGCAGTCAGTAGTTCCCTCGATAAAGGGCAAAGAACACTTTTCCTCTAGGTAGATCTTTGGCTTTACTCCTGTAGATTGCCTTTGGACTTGCAGCTCTTCTGATGTTTGTAAGTATCAATTGGCCCGTAGAGTCCAGTCTAGGAGGTTCAGTTCACCTTGGAAGAGATAGGGTTCACAGATCCTGTTTGCAGGGTCTACCAGGACTTTAATTGTGCTTCTTGTTTGACTTGGACAATAGTTGGAGTGTTTATGTAGGCATCTATCAGTATGCGTAGGTTTTCTGTAAACCGTGTGGCCCAATTGTTGATTTGGTTTGTGGATACCTAGGACATCTAGAAATTGAAGTTTCATTTGTTTTCTTTTTCCATGGTGAATTGGATGTTTGGGTGGACGCTGTTAAAGTGGTCCAGGAACTTGTGTAGTTCTCCTCCTCCATGGCTCCAAATGGTGAAGGTGTCATCCACATATCTGAACCATATAGTGGGCTTTTTCGGTGTTGTTTCCAGGTTCAAAGTGTTCCATATAGAAATTTGCTATGGCTGGGATGAGAGGGCTTCCCATGGCTACTCCATCTTTATGTTCACAGAATTCATTGTCCCACTGGAAGTAGCTTGTAGTGAGGCAATGTTTAAACAGGGCTGTGATATCTCCTGGGAAATTCTAGTTAATGAGTGCAGTGGTGTCTGCTATGGGGATCTTAGTGAATAGAGACACCACATCACAGCTGATCAGTTTGTTATTGGCGTTGAGTTTGAGATTGCAGATTTTTTTTCTATGAAGTTGCCTCACTGTCAGAGAACCTCTGAAGATGGCAGCCACAGATGCAGGCTAAGCGTTAGGAGAATGCTGCTGGAACATGGCCATACAGCCTGAAAAAGTCACAGCAACCCAGTGATTCTGACCATGAAAGCCTTCGATAATACAGTTTCCTTACACTTGCAGTCCTGATATTACCAAGGGAGGGAAGGTCTTGTGAGAATGGAAAACTGCATGACTGCACAATTGTAGTGGGAAAAAAACTGTGCACATGCTGGGTAGGATATATACAGGTAGAAAGCAAGGTTGTGTGGAAGACTGATCATGGGAATTCACATCACCACAACTACAGCATAGCACAATTGCAGAGAGGTGTGAAAGTAGTATTTTCAATGATGGTATGTAACAATTTGCTTAAAAATGCCACAAGACTACAGGCTGGTGTGATAATATACTAAATTCTGAGGACACTGCTACATCCATTTCCCACATCATATCTTTTTTCCATATGGCCCCACTTGAGTGTTTGTGGATACCTGGCCCATTACCTGAGTAGCAGCAAAATCAAAGGCTACATCAAACATATAGGATTTTTCTCGTGAGCGGTTAGCACGGAGGACGTCATCAGGATCCCCCAGTGGATCCATCAGGACAACCATCTGAAAAGAACAGTGTCAAAATTTTGATGGTGTTTATGCTGGAGAAGTGAGAACAAACCAGGAGAAAGCAACCAAGGCTAGAAAGATAACATGTACACCATTCCTCCTTGTAAACCATTTTCTGAACCCTTCTAAGAAACCAAATCGCTTGTAATTTGCAACTAACTATTGTTCCTCCTTCCTCAGATGACACTGATCTTAAGATGAGATAGTATCGATTGTAACATAAAGATTTTATTTAGGAAATTGCTGGACTTTGGTCTTAGAAATTTTGTAATCTGATGACATCTTGTCTAAGGCAGCTGTAATATCTAAAGTTTTCCCAACATCTATCTATGATTTTCCCCTGAAACCATCTCCCATAAGATATAATAACCTTTAATAACATAGATACCCTTGGGTGTTAAGCCTGAAGCTGTGAACTGGCTTCTGACTAATTAAGTTGCCCTGGTGTAATACATACAGATATGCTAGGAAACACCCAGAGGGACATAAATTAAGCAGCAGGATGTTAGGTTCTTCTGGGGTACCTGCAGAATTGTAGGATAGAGAGCCCAACAGTTTACATATTTCTAGCCAAGCCCACTGCTGTGTTTTCAAGCCTATTGTCAGTAAGAATGTGGATACATTCCAATGGCTTCTTGGTTTCAAGTATTGACTTAAAACCAAAGGGGCAACATGGTTTACGTGAAACCAGTGTACTAGTCTACTGGATGATCTTGGGCAAATTATTCTCTCCACCTCAGGGGATGGCTATGGCAAACCCCCTCTGAACAATCTTGCCAAGAAATCAATGTGATAGTTTCTCTTAGGGACACCATTATTTGGAAAGGACTTCGAGAGCACACAACAATCAGAATTTGGCTTGAAAAGAAGGTAGATTTGTCATGGGATTCAACAATTCAACCTTTACAAAAAGGGCACTCTCAAGGGATAGATTTTTGCATGATAACAGGGCCACAGAAAGCTGTTTTTATACCAGGTGAGCCTATTCATCCATCAAACCTAGTATTATCAACTTGGGCTGGTGATTGTTTTCCAGAGTTCTCAAACAGAGATGCTTCTGATAACTTGCCTTTTGGGCATTTGAACCAGAGTTCCAAGTATCTGCCATGTGATTCCCAAGCTCTACATGTAAGCACACTTCTTCCCTCTGGGAAGTTCAGTTTGAATAGTACCCCTGGGAGTTACATGGTGTAACAGAAGAATGCCATACAGTAATATAATACAACAGAAATGAAGTTGCAGAACACCCAGATTGGCAACTACAGCTTCTGTGCTGACTGCTTCCCTTAATCAGGTGTCCACCCACCTGCGTGAGGACCATTAATCTTCCTTTGTGCTTCTATGATCCCTGCTAACCTTAATCTGGGTTGACAAAGGGGACAGGTCTGTACTAGCCATAGGGATACCATATGTAGGCTTAAATGTGGTAACTATTTGTTGGGTTTAATCACTGAAAGATTAGCAACTGGAGGAGAGAAGGGGAAAAGAACATTTTGTGTATCTGCTAGGGGTCAACAGTGTTGGAAGAGGATGCAACTCTAGTATCACCCGTGTATCTGTACAATTGTCAAAGACTGTGCAGAACTCAGGGACTCTTTTGAGGCAATAAAAAGTTAAAAAGTGGAGGGATTCATATTTTTAATATTAATTTCATTTTTTGTGCTGAAATAAATCTGATTCTTTGTGGAACATAGGTTCTCTTATTTGAAATGCTCGGGTCCAGAAGCATTTGGGATTTCAGACACCCCCCCCCCCCAATTTTTGGAATACCTGCATTTGCATATATGGGCAAAATGGGATATCTTGGAAATGGGATCCAAGTCTAAACATGAATTCATTTATCATATACACCTTATGGAATATTATTTAATAATGAACCAACAGAAAGCAAGAGTGTTACAAGTCACATCTATACTGAAGACTTAGGCCTATGTAGAGCTGGACGACAAATGGCACATGGGGCTGATCTGGGGTAACTTGGGGCAAGACCACCCTAGTGCGGCCTCATGTTATTTAAAGTTATGGGAAAGTCTGAATTCTTGCCCAGAATTTGGACTCTTCCCTGACTTCGGGCCTGTGGGAACAGTTGGACTGGTTCCAAAACAGAACTATCCCCACTGCCATCCTGTTTGTCCCAGGTGTGGATCTGGAGACGTGAGATGGCAATTGCCTCCCCCAATCCATATTGCAGTGGACTCCAGCTGCCATGTGGGTACTTCCTAACATCTGTCGCATACAGTGATGTCAGAAAGAGTGCTCTGGGAAGGGAGAGGGGAGAGAAGGGGTTATTCCTCTTCTACCCCTCCCCTCTCTTCCAGTGCCCCATCATTCAATATCACTGTATGCAACAGCAGACAGGTAGGACCTGTTTCATAGCTGGAGACTACTGCAACAGGAAGGATAGTTGCCCAGTAGTGCTGAACTCTGTTTGGCCCTTACCCAGGGCTGATCTGGTGTAGTACATGCCAGATTAGTCCCACAGTATTACTCAGTATAGATTTGCCATCAATGCGGAGAACGTCAGATTCTGATGTGGTTTTGAATTCTGGGTAAGGGATACTCCACTAGATTCAAAGGTTCTGCTGTGCTATAGATAGTCTCCAGGAAATACAGTAGTTCTTCCCTCTGGAAAAAAAATGTATCTATCTGCTTGGGGTGGTTCTATCATGGACTTAGTTGAAAGTGCCTGTATCCCTGTGACCAGTACTGCTGACATACATCAAAGACATGTGAAAACACTGATAGAGGTGAGGCAAATCCCTCCCCCTTTCAGTAGGAGAACTGGACACCTACTACGTAGAAGGAGCTACTGATGGTAAAGGAGATGTCAGCATCTGTCCCCTGTGACCACAGTTTGTTGTCCTTGAGTGTGCAGGTATCACATTGCCCTGAACAGCAACATTAGGTTGGGTTTCATTATATCCAGGAGGCCTTAACAGGGGCTCTGTGAAAGGTGATCACCATTCTCAGCAACAGATAAAAAAAGGTGGCTTGAAAAGATGTGGGGAGCAATTAACTGGTACTGTGCAAAGCAGTATAGCTACTAGCTAGACTAGGACAGGGAAGACACAAGTTCACCCTGCATTAACCCAGCGCACCCACGTGAGCTTGAGCCTCCAACAGCTTTTCAATGTCTCCTGCGTCATATGAAACAGAAAGGGATAAGGAACATGTACTGAGTTTGGAAGAACGTATGCCTAGTAAACAAAGTAAACATGGGCTTCCTTTGAGAGAAAAGATTCTTAAAAATGGAATTAAATCTCCACATGTAATTACAACAAGTCATAGAAAAGGATCTGAATGCACTGCATTAGCACTAAAGTATCATTATTAGAACCCCTAGCATAAATAAAGAATGAGTTGTACAGGGAGTATAATGGCTGCTCAACATTTGTACCAAATAAGGGTAAAAGGAGGGAAGAAATAGTTCATTTTCAAAGGCTTGAGTAACTCTTGCTTTATGTTCATTCTACCAAGATAAGCAGCTTGCTTATTAGTTGCCTCTGAAACAGGCTGGGGATAAGTGTCACTCCACATCGCCCAGAGTCCGAGTTCCATCACCCGCTGCCAGCAAAGCAACTGTGAAGTATTGCAGGGAAGTGTAGTCCAACAACAACTGAAGGACATACATTCTCCATCCCTGTTCTAAAATTTTCAGTGGCCCGTGATTCCTTTAGCATTCATTAAATCACAAAGACAATTTTAGTTATAAAGGTCATTTCAGTTTGTGCTCTCATTTGTGCCAAAGAGAGATTTTTAGAAGCAACACTGCAATTTAAAGGAAAACTTTTAAATTAAAAAAAATTAAATCTGTAATGAATAAAAGGATCTAGAGCCAGAGCTCTTTCCTATCATATGCTATTTCATGACAAGGATTGAACCTCTTACTATGCAAAGCATGTACTCTACAACCAAGGCCCCTTCCACACAGCTGAATAAAATCCCACATTATCTGCTTTGAACTGTAATATATGGCAGTGTGGACCCAGTTCAAAACAGATATTGTGATAATGACATCCAAGAACTAGATTGCAAACCAAAGAAAGAGCAGGACCAGGAGTGATACAGATGGCTTAAGTGCACTAAAATCTCAATGGAGCAGTACAATTCTCTCAAGACACAAAAACAATGTGCCTTCTCCTATCCCTCCCCCAAGTGGTGGATCTGAACAGTTATCTTGTTTCAGGTGAAGCTGCAGGTAGCTCTCAGCAACAAGAACAGCCTGTGCTACTGGCAGCTCTTTGGGCCATTGTGCCCAGAGAAACAGGACATTGTTTCAGTGGGCATTAATGGGAGCTTTGTGAACAACGCCAAAAACTTTGCTGGCCAGCCCTGCAACTCCACTTGGACAATCAGACCTCTGTGAGATGCTGTCATGAGTGCTGAGTCTGAGATCGGGAGAAAAGAGAAGGAGAGAAGGTGACCTACTATGGGCAGGGGTGGGGGTGGGGTAATGTGGCCTCCATGATTCACACCTTTAAGAGATGCAAACGGAGGTGCAATTCAACCGCCTAGGCTTTACGGGACCATTGCATATCTATGCTAAGGAACAATTTGACCAAATGGTTTACGTCTTTATAACACATCAGAAAATGATTTTTAAGGGGCTGGATCTTTATGGGAGGAAGGAGATTTTGAAAAGTTAACAAAGCTGTACATGCATTCATATATGTGCATTCTTTCAAATAATTGTTATTATGAGAAATGGTCTGCTGGGGGGGGGGGGGATCATAATATTGCTATTTGTTTAAGCTCTTTATGGTCCTATTTACAAAGAAGATTGTCTGAATGATTCAATCTAGTTTCCACCCAGTCAGCTATTGATAGAAACAGCGAATTCTGTAGCATCTTTGTGTGAGGTCACTCAGCCTGTATCTACACTGTAGAATTAACACAGTTTGACACCACTTTAACAGACACAGTTCTATGTAATACGATCATGGGAATTCTAGTTTTACTAGCTTTTTGGCCTATGGGGAAAAAAGTGCTGGTGC